AGAGAGGCGGGGCTGAGAGCATGGTGGGGAGGGGAGGGGCGGGGCTGAGAGCAGGGGGAAGAGAGGCTGGGAGCAGGGAAAGGGGAGGAGCTGAGAACAGGAGTAAGAGGAGAGGGGTGGGGCTGAGAGCATGGTGGGGAGGGAAGGGGCGGGGCTGATAGCAGGGGAAGAGAGGGGAGGGGATGAGAGCAAGGGGGAAGAGAGGCTGGGAGCAGGGAAAGGGGCGGGGCTGGGTGCAAGGGGAAAGAGGAGAGAGGCGGGGCTGAGAGCAGGGGGGAAGAGAGGGGAGGGGCTGCCCCACCAGACAGCCCTCCCAATTCCTGAAGCTGGCCAGCCAGCCCTCCAGGGTGCAAGGGTAGGGTCACCCCCAGTTGCTCCTGACCCCCCCCATGCCACGCACTCTGGCCTTGCCTATCCTGTGCCCCCCACCTTACTGAGAGTTCTGGGGCTGGGCGGAGTTCGGAAGAGGGCAGGGAAGGTCCCCAGTTGTCTTAGCTTTTGGGGGGAAGGCTGAGCCTGCCACCCCCAAACACCTTCCCATCCTTTTCCCCAGTAACTTACCTGTACCCTGCCTCCTCACCTCACCCATGCCAGCCATCTCTTTCCAAAATGCCACAGTGAACCCCCTTCTTCCCACCACGCCGACATGCCCAGTTGTGCCCAGTGCCGAGGAGCACCTTTGTTAAGCACCGTGTGCCGGGGCCTCTACCTGGCTGCTCCCTCCGCACACCTTAGGGCACGGCAGGCTGCAGCAAGGGCTGGTCTGTGGCAAACAAAACCAGCGTCAGAGACAAGACAGACAGAAAAATTGGGCCAATGACTGGGAGAGAATGGGAGGGCACAGATGGGTCACCCGAAGTTTGGGAGCCGTCGCCAGAGGCCAGAAGGGGCAGCCTGGGAGCCTCATTCCTGGAGGGAGCCAGCTGACCACACCACAGACACAAGAACGATCAATCCCCTGCCAACCCGCCTGCCTCGTCGTAGGATGCCCACCGATGACTGGCCTCCACAGACTTTCCTGGAAAGGTAGAGGGAGATGGAGAGAAGCAGCAGGCTCGAGAGCACCCTGCGCATCAGGACTGCGGAGGGCTATGGTTCTCCAGGCCGCAGGAGGGATGCAGATGCGGGTTTGGTCACAGCTGAAGAACCCGCCTCCTTGGGAAGGGTTATGACTTAAAGAAGGTCCAGGGTCAAAGGGGCCTTGGCCCGTGCAATCTGCTCGTCCCTGGGATTCCCGGGCCTGGCCCCTTTCACAGCCAAAGCCCAACCCTTCTGAACTTGCACCACAAATATAGACACAACGTTTCTTCACATAAGCCATTTTTATTTAGTTTCCAAAGTACATATCACAAAGCTTCCTTCCCTTCAGTCAATGGAAAACCAAGGCCGCAGATTTTGAAGTGCTCTATTTCCCCCTGAAAAGCAGCATTTTTTTGGCTCTTCCATGATGACTTTTCACAAAAGGAAAGTCCCCCATGACACACCACTCACTGCCCCAAAAGAAAGCCAGCTCCGACCAGTCAGGGCAGCAAATGCTACCTTACGCCTTGCAGGCACATCCTAAATCCCAATCATGGCACACGGGGGGAAGAAAAAGCGGCAAGATCTCGGGCTTCTCATCAGCAGATCGTATCACACAAAGAAGACATGGCTGGCAATTCAGGGCACAGCTATCACACGGCACTGGACGTAAAGGCCACACAACGGAAAAGCTAGACAATGCAAAGGGACTTTGTCATTCCCTAATCAGGAAATCCCAATGCTCGTTTCCAATCCCAGAGGTTTCCAGAATGCTTGAGGTCCATCCTTCCGGCCAAAGGGACCACGTGTGGTTTGATGGCAAGGTGGAGAGCTGAGCCGACCTCTTGCTGAGCAATCGCTGCAAGTACAAAGGGACCACATTCCCACGTCAGCCAGAATTCCTAAAGGACAGACAGTCCCGATTTTCGCGGGGTTGAGGGATGGGCAGGCAGGGAAAGGAAGGGGCTCCTCTCCAGTTCCATACAGGATACAGGGCTCGTCCGTCCATCTATGGCTCCTATGCTGCTAGCTGATCAGCAATGCTTCCCTTAGAGTCGCACACGTCATTCCCATCCCTTATTTTTTACGATTTAGATCCTCTCCCAAAAGAAGCCCTGAAAGACATCTATGAAGCAGACGGGGCTGAGAATCCTGCCGCCACGCTACTGGTTTTACGAGTGTGATCACGGACGTCAGGGGTGACACGCCCTTGGAATCGTCCCATCGGCATCATCCCGGGAAAGGGTCTACACCTTGTGGTTTATAGGGCCATTGACTTTATCCGGCTCAATGGATGCCAGCAGTCTTCACAATACCAAGAAAACACCAGGCTTATTTCATACACTCTTTATTTCCCAGTCTTCAGCACAGAAGAATGTCAAAACTCGGCCAAGGAGAACAGTGAATGTCAAACTAATACTAGCTGAGAAAATGAACCAAACAACAGGCTTATCTGAATTTTCCAAAACGGCGAGAATGGAGGATAACCAGGGAGACTGAGGCATTTAGAATATCAGAAAAGTGGGAACCATTTCTTCCAAATCCCACCCCCAGATTGCTACATGGAAAGCCCCGCTATGGAACACAGGGGGTGTCACTTCTAGCCCCCACTGCATTCTCCACGCGATGACTCCTGTCTAGCTCTATCTTTTATGTGTCAGGGACCACAGTATCAGGGCTCTAAGACAATGGATTAAACTAATTTCAAAAGGAAACCATTTGATGTATAAAAGAAATATTATAGGAAAAACAGACCAACGGACAGTATGAAGTACAGACAAAATCCGTGTTTGGCAGCAGTCGGTCAGGGCTGCTGCTGCTACTGCTCTCTGCGCTGGAACCGAGCTTAAGGGAGTGGCCCAGAAAGTCTGGAGAGACTCCGGGAACAGGACCAAGGAGCCATGAGATGAGGGAGGTCTCTATCGACCACCAGCCTTCACTCCAGAAGTGAAGACCACCAACGTCCCAAACGTTCTCTCTCCAAAGAGCACTGCAAGGTCTCACTCGCCTCACAGGCCCTCAGAGAGAAGGTCACCAAATGGGACGTCTGCACACAGTGGATATAAAGTGCATTCACCTTGCCTGAGGCAGAGAACGCTCTCAGGCCTGGGGGCCAAGAGCAGCTTCAGGGGCTTGGGTCTGTCTACACTGATGGCCAGCTCTATCCTCAGAGAGATAAAGTCGTGCCACTGGTTTCCCTGAATGGACTGATCATTTCTGTGCCCAGAGCTGACTCGGTTAGGAGTCCTGGGTCGATGAACACAGGGCGGGGGTCCCCTGCCAGGCTTCCCGCGATGCCTCCTGGTCCCACACTCACAAGCCCTCCCTCCCTCCCTCCTTCCCACTCGAACCAAACACCGAATCGCGGGACTCAGTCGGTGGGTGGGTCACAGCTGGCCTCTCGCAAAGCCCCAATCCGGTGCTATCTAAAAACGCCCACGTTGATGGAAAGCCCCGTTTCTGGTCTGTGTGGCTTCTCAGGCACGTGTGTTTCTACCTCAGTTCCACTTCTCTGCAGCTGGACAGCTTGGCGCCTGGGAGAGAAACAGACAATGCCTCTTGGACACTGACATCCATGGGGCTCCCAGAGGCGTCTGCCCGAGATCCGGCCTCCCTGAGTGGAGGAGCCCCCCTCGAGCCCTCCAGGGCCGCGGCAGCAGCCCCCAACCTCACCGCACAGGCTTCCCTTCCCTCAGACTGCGTGCTGAGAGAAAACTCGGTTTTTAAAGGGCTTCTCTTCCCATAATCTGGTAGAAGTATATAAAAACTAAGCTTAATTAAGCCTCACGATGACCATTACATGAACTGAACATGAAGCGCTCTGATGCCTCCTTGACAGTCCCTCCCAAGTGGGACGTCCACCCTGCAGAGAATCCGAGAGCTCCCTCAGGGCTATCTTCCAGACACATGCCTGATCCCCAAGTATTCGCTGTGGCACACCCCGCCTTCCCCACAACACACATCATTGCATAGGAGCCTCCACAGGCATCTGGCTCTAAGCCAAGTGACCAGACGTGCCCCAGACCCCACTGGGAAGAGCCCCATTACCTTCTCCTCTTTCCCCCAAACAGCTTGGTCTGATTCTCTCTGCCAACATCATCTCTCAGGGTACTGAAGTCTCTATTGCCATCCACCAAGAGGTTCTGTTGATCAAAGCAATGAAGAGGTATTATCTTCCAGGAGCCTCGTTGGGCCAACAGGCCCTGTACAGTGAGGGGTAGGAGCAGCAGCAGGAGAGGAAGAAGGCATTGCTAGAGTAATTACTTTAAGGGGCAGCTGGGTGGCGCAGTGGACAGAGCACCGGCCCCAGAGTCAGGAGGACCTGAGTTCAAAGCCAGCCTCAGACACTTGACACTCACTAGCTGTGTGACCCTGGGCAAGTCACTTAACCCCATTGGCTAGCAAAAAAAGAAAGGAAAAAAAAAGAGTAATTACTTTAACCAGAGGAATTACAGAATCGGAAGAGCTGAATTCTAAGGACAGATGGAATCTGTTGTCGTTCAGTAGTTTCAGTCACGGCTGACTCCCCGTGACCCCATGTGGGGTGTTCTTGGCCAAGATACTGGAGTGGTTTGCCATTTCCTCCTCCAGCTCATTTGACAGATGAAGAAACTGAGGCAGACAGGGTGAAGTGACGTGCCCAGGGTCACACAGCTTGTAAGCGTCTGAGGCCAGACTTGAACTCTGGAAGATGAGTCTCCTTGACTCGAGCCTGGGACTCTGTACACTGTGGTGCCACTTAGCGGCACCAATTCCGAAATGGAATTTAGATAATATGAAAAATAGTAGGGAAGTGTCTTTTAGGGGCTTTAGATCAACGGGAAAAAAAAAGTTTTGGGGCCTAAAGAACCCCAAAGCCCCTGCCCACTTATGTCCAAGACAAGCTCGGCCCTATCGGGTTCCGTCCTTTCCAGTCCAAGGAGAGAAAGCGAGAAAAGGAGGGCAGCGTTGCAGACAGACAGCCCAGCCAGCCGGCCGGATCTGCCTCACTGGAAGGTCCTCAGACCAGCAAAGTCACGCACCCCGCCTTGGCCTTAGCAGAGCGCCAGAGCCCACCTTCCTGCGTTCCTTGCCAGAGTAGGTGCAGCTCTGCCACGCGCAGTAGGGCTGGGTCACCTGCACTCCCTCTCCTAACCCTGCCTCTCACTGTCTCGCCCACAGGCCCCCAGGTAGCACTCCTCCTTCTCGACATCCCCGGGCGGGCAACGGCCTCAGGCATTTTCGACACCCCCCCCCTCTGGTTCTCACCCACATTTTATTTATCTATTCCTTGTTGCAGAAGTCCTGGGGAGAAAGCTCTATCTCAGAGCCGCTGGGGCCTTGTCCAGGGTCCAAAATCAGGACTAGAACCCGGGTCTTCCTGACTCCAACAGCAGCTCTCCAGGCCTCTGCGGCCCTGCCCGAGCTGACCCTCGACTGTGGCTGAGCTTGCTGGAATCCTCTGGACCCATTCACGAACAAGAGCAAATTCTGAAAACGCTTAGGCTACGTGCTAAAAATAAAATGGGGGGGATGCCTTTGGCCTCTCCCAGAACCAATGAACCTGCAAAGCACCCACCTTCACACCAATAATATCTCCATCTTTCAGGTAATAAGGCGCCATCTGCAAATTCTCCTGCTTCTTCTTCTTTTTCCTCTTGGAAACCTGCAGGTCCTATTAACAAGGAAAGCCGACTGAATGGGTGACGCCAGCGGGGGCCTGGGGGAACACTGGAGGGTCCCCCAACATGGCCTGGTCGCTAAGATGACCCAAGGCGGGCCCCCCAGGCGTTACCCAACTAGAGATGGGCATCCACTCAAACTTCTCAGGAAAGTACTTGGCGATCTCAATGCCGTCCACAGGGAGGCAGTAGTGGGCAGCCACACCCTGCCGCAGGGACACAGCCGTGCACTCCTTCAGGATGTCCCACACAAAGTCCACGGTGGGGTAGTAGGCCCGCTCCCCAGGGATGCCCATCTGGGTCCGTAGCAGCATGTCCTTGGGGCTGGGAGGGAAAAGAAGCAGAGGTCATATTCGAAGCCAATTCAGGAATGACAAATAGGGCAACCGAGCCATGGATCGAGCGCTAGGCTCAAAGGCAGGACGCCCTGAGCTGGGATCCCACTTCTGACACATACATGCTTTCCCTGCCTCGGTTTTCTTCTCTGCTAAATGGGGATAATGCTAACCCCCATCTCCCAGGGTGGCAGTGAGGCTCAAATACCCGCGCCAAAGAGGGGTCCGAGTCTGGCAGGAGGCCTAAGAACACACCCCTCCCCCGGCACACCCAACACCACCAGCCCTCCTCCAGTACGCCCCGGGGGCCCCCCCCCGACCACGCCGCAGAGCTGGCCCATTCGTGGGCACAGCCCTGCCTCCTCTCCACCCTTCTTCAAAGAGGCAGCCCCTCGCCGCCGGTGCCCGTATTCTCATGCCCTCCCCTCTCCCTGGCTCCTGCACTGCCGCGTCCCCAGGCCCACGCTGCCCATGGCCGTAACAACCCTCACTGAACCTTGCCTCCTCGAGCCCTTCTCCCTTCCACTGGAGGCCACCATGGACAGAGAGAGGACCCACCAAGCCGACTGCCTCCCCATACAACTCCCTGCATTCAGGCGGTCCGTAGCTTGTACCTGGCCGCTCAGCCTTGGCCGGCCTGCCTCTGTCCACACCCCCTCCTTGCCCACACCCAGCTGCTGCTCTCGAGCCTGGAGCTCCAGGACGGCTTCCTGCTCGGCCTCCCCCACGCCAGGTCTTCTGTCATCGGCCCTCCACGAGAGAGAAGCCCCAGGACACAGGACTCCCCATCCCCTTTGCGTCCTGGCACTCAATGCCTTCCGCAGGCTGGTCCCCAGCCAAGTCAGTCTACTGGATGGTGTCTGAACTAAACGTTCCACCTCCGAGGGGTCTCCTCTCTCCTCTTAGACTCTTTTCCTCACGTGCCAGCCCACGCGCTTCATCCAACAGGAAGCCGACCTTTGCTGGGTCCACGGCGGGCACTCCTGTGCTCCCCGCTGCCTCTTGCTCACGATGCTTGTATTTCCAGGGCCCAGCGGAGCAAGCAGTGAATCAAATAGCGGTGCCTGAGCTCCATCACCCCTCCCCCCTTCTCTGGCCACGCTGGAGCCTCCCCACCACCCACATGAGCAGAGACCATGTGTCCACCGTAGAAGATCACAGAGGCGCCCGCACATGAGTCGCACGATCCTCAGTCTGGAGCGAGGGGATCCCAGGGGCCATCGAGAGGGTCACCTGAGGCCTCTGCCTTGCCCCTGTCCATACCCCTCAACGTTTCTGCTTGGGCAGTCGCATCTCCTCTGAAGCAATCAGCGTCTGCCACGGCCAGGGGTGGCGCCTCTCTTCCTCAACAAGAAATCAGAAGCGTACAAGGCAGCCAGCCCCAACAAGCCTTGAAACCCTCGGGAGCCACGGGCTTCGCTCTCTGCCCCAGTTCACCAGCCTGCACTGCATCCACACCGGGCGCTGGGCCGGTCCACGAGAGGGTCTGAGGGCCTCATTTCCCAACGTCCTCTGTGACACGCCCCACTCACTCTCTACTGCTCGCCGGGATCTCTCAGGCATGCTGAGAAGCCCGGCACCACAGGGGGCTGGGGGGTCCAGGAGGAAGGGGGCTTCCATCAGTGCTACAGTGGACAGCCCGGGTTCGAATTCCACCTTTGACACTGCCAAGCTCTCTGGCCGTCACTTTGAATGAGGCCTGATGAGGCCTGACCCCCAATCCCTGACATAAGAGTCCCGGCCATGGCCAACGGGAAAGAGACGGGTTTTGTGTATTTCAGGTCAGATCGAGCAACAGGACCCTCGGGGCTTCTTAGCGGGACGTGACTAATTGCGTGAGCTGCACCCAATGATCACCAACATTGCATGGTGGGGGGGGGGCGGGCGGGAACCTTTTGGATTTCACAGGCACTGACTCAGAAAAGAACAGAGAGGGCAAAGCCTGCTCTTGGACTAGGGAATGACTATGGGACAATCACTATCCATTCTATGAGGGAGTCATCTGTCACACTAAAGTGAATCCAAGTGAACAACGTGGGGAGAAAATGTTAGTGTGTGCTAAGGGGTGTGTGTGTGTACGCTTGCACGTGTGTATGTGGGCATGCATTGTGCATGTATAAATCATGCAGCACACAATGCATCATGTGTACGTGTGTGTTCACCGCTATGCATGTGTGTGCCTATGTGTACACGTGTTCATCGTGCCATGCACAATGCATTGTCTGCGCGCGTTTGTGTATCACTGTGCATATGTGTGTGCACCGTACAGCGTGCACATGTGTGTATCACTGTGCGTGTGTGTGCATGTGTATGCACTGTACAGCGTGGGCATGTGTGTGTGCATTGTGCAGTGTGCATCACTCTGCACGTGTATGCAGTGTGGTGTGTGTGTGTGTGTGTGTGTGTGTGTGTGTACATGGGTATGCATGTGTAAAGACAGCGGAAATTCTTACCCCAAGGTCTCTCGTTCCTGAAGAGGCTCTATGCATATCTGAGTTCTCCCTCCTACTTTATACTCCCTGGTAAAAAAAAAAAGAGAGAGACAGAAAGAGAGAGAGATCATGTGATTTACTGTCATCCCATTTCAGCCTTTCATTTTGCTGACTTCAAACACGTAAAAGCTGCTGGGCCCAGGCAGGCCATGAAGCATTTCCTCGCAGGCTTCAGCCTAGGCACAGAGCTGCGCACAGCCCCGGGGATCTGGGCCTACAATCTGGTGAAGCTCAGCTGTTCCAAGCAACGTTTGACGTGCGACCCCCAACGTGGAATGGCCAGTTACTAGCTGCCTGAACTGACTGATCTCACCATCCGGCTTTGCAGGGCGCTAACAGACTGAAGCGGAGGAAGCCGCTAGAAACCTACTTGAGTTGTTGCTGGTTGTTCCGTAAAAGCCTGCCTGGACGCTTACTCTCCATGGTCCAGGCTCTGAGAAAGTCAGCAGACGGGAAACCAAAGTCCAGGAAAGACGGCAAGCTCATGACCTGGAAAAGGAGACATTTCCCCAAATGTTAACAAGCAGCCCTCTTTAAAAAGCTCTTACCTATGGAGATGATGACACACCAACGGGGGTGGAGTCTGCCTGACAGGGCACGCCCCTCTACTGGGCAGAAGGGACTTTCTTTGCGCGAATCTGAATCCATTCCCTCATGCTTGTTTCAGAAAATGAGTTTTTGAAATTGGTGCATGTGTGTATGAAGTGGGTCACCCCCTCCTACAACTAGAAGAAGAGGGAGGGCAGCCATATCAGTGAAGATTCTAGGCTGCAGGGGGCTGCCCCCTTCTCGGGGGCCCGAGTCCTACTGTGCGCCCCTTCAGCCACCTGCTCACGGTAATTTCACAAACGGTCAGGCTCTGTCCAGGTACAGGAACAAAAAGCAGAAGCCCTGCCTTTGTCGTACGCTTCTCTGTCCTGTTGTGAGACCGCCAGCTCGTGGGCCTGCTTGCCTCGATAAAGGCAAATTTCCGACACCCCCCATCTGGCCCAGGAGGCCACGTTTTCCTCCAGAGAGAATGGTCAGGTGCTTAGTTCTTCAAGCTGCCTGCCTGACCAATTCTCTTCCGAGGAAGGCCTGGCCTGGGGCCGAGTCTGGCCTAACAGAAAGGACCGCCGTCCCATGAGAATGACCAGGCCTTCTGGACAAGGATGCCCAGTCTGATGAGAGGACACACAGCAAGGATTAAGGTGCAATCTTACACTTGGATCCAAAACCTCAATTCCACAAAAGGACAGGACGGGACTGACGTGGCTGTAGCCAAAAGAGCTAACAGCGTCCCAGGCGATGCAGTGACCGAGGGGCTGGGCCGGGCCCCACAGGAGGAAAGGTGCTCCTCATGTCCTAGGCACCCCATTTTAGGAAGGACACAGAGAAACCAGAGACCCCAACGGGACGGCCAGATGCTGACTGGCTCCGAGACTCCGCTGTGAGCCTGCCAGACAGAACACTGAGGAAGGACCTGGCAGGGAGCTTCACATCTCAGAAGGGCTGCCCCACGAGGAGGGACACTTAAACTCTGCTCAGCCACTGGGGCAAAGGGTGGGTGGGGCAGTGACACAGATTTGAGCTTAATGTAAGGCAAGACTTCCTGGCCATCAGAACGGAGAACCAGGAGGGGGCCAGGCGGTGAGGAAAGGCGGGATGGCCACGTGCTCCTGGAGAAGCCGTGGAGGGGATCTGCAGTCAGGCACAGGCTGGCACCTGGGGCTGATCCACCCGCGTCACCCAGGTAAAAACGGTTACCATCAGCCTTTGGCAAATACAAGAACCATGTGTCTGAAAGGAAATGCCCCATGGATAACACTGGGCTTGCGTGGCATCTGCTGACAATGACCAGAGCGACTCTGGCCTCTGGGTCACAGGCCAGGAGCTAAAGGAAGCCCACACTAGGAAAATGCCCATGCCCTGTGCTCGGGCCCCAGCTTGGTGGTCACCCCTGATCTCAGATGAACACTGCACTGACCAGAAACCACAGCACCCTTGAAATACGCTGAGAAAGAGCCAGACCTGACTCTTGAGATCCGCCACGGAAGCCTCTTCGGAGATTTCCACGTCCCCCGCAAAAGTAAAGGGCATTTCGGGCTGGACGATGTCTGGAACATCTCTGTGCGGATCTGGACACGGAGTAAATCAAACCCAGGTCACCTACAGGCCACTGCATTTCCCAAGAATAGCAGGATGTGAGGCTGACTCCTACATTAACCGGAGGGGAAAACAGCCACACAATGGGAGGCAGAGACGGGAAGACGATGACAGACATGCAGTGGCAACGAAGACGAGACCATACCTAAGGGACTAGAAGCATGTCTTAAGTGGGGAAAGGGAGCACCGGCTGCCCCACTGCAGGCATGCTTCTCCTTAAAAGACAGACGTGGCTACTTTTCCATCAATCTTCCCAGGAATGAAAAAGGAAACCTACAGTCGGCACCCTGGCCCCCAATGACACATGGGAGGAAGGCGCGCTCCCACACAGGCCTCCTCGTCTGCCCTTGGAAGACCTCGAGGCATCCGAGAAGAGCGATGAGGACTCACGCAGGACCACAGGACAGCTTGTGGCCCGGCCCTGCTCACTGCCTAGCTGATGTGACTTTGAACAAGAGGGCCTCTCACAAGGCATCACACCCCCGGCGGTGGAGGAGTGCAGGAAGTGAGGAGGCTTAACCTCACGGAGGCTATGACAGGACCCTTTTCAGGGAGGGTGGGGAGGGAGCCCCTTCCAGCTCTGGGGCCCAGGACACAATGCTTATGAGCCCTCACTATGTGGGTCCATCAAATCACAACAATGACCCATCTTCAGGACCAATCTCAAAGGTTCTGCTGGTACCAAATGTGAAGGCACTTGGAAAAGATAATTACATAAATATCACCTATCATTACCAGTAACTGGAACCCCTGCCCACCCACCAAAGAAAGATTTTATACATGGTTTACAACTTGCAGGCCAGTGGACCCTTCCAAAATGTGGCTCATTAATCTTTCTGCTAACTTTTTAAAACCAGAAATGAGCACGCTGGCCTTCCAAATCCATCTGCCGGTGTTTGTGGTGCTACGATCACACATCAGACTTACCGCCTCCTTCAGGGGTGGTTCTCAAAGCCTCCACTTGGTGGGTGATGTGGCTAATGTGGTCCTCAGGGTTCTCCTGCCATCCAGCGGGTGCTGATGGATGGTACCACCAGACAGGCACTTTGAGGAAACCCTATTATGATGGAAATGAAACCCGAGGAGTGCTGACAGAGCCGATGCAGTAATCACAGGGCACCCTTCCCCACCTGCTCCAGCCAGGGCCATCCCAGAATCCTCCTGGGCCATCCACAACCCATCCAAGCTGCTCCAGCTCCAACCACCAGAAGGGCGGGGGTCACCAACTCGAGGGAGGCCCGCTGCTCTGGCCTCCTGATGCCTGCTGAAGCCCTGGGATCTCTCATGGCTTCCTCTGCCTCGGCCTCAGCACCTCACCCCCACGGAGCGTGTGAGGGGGCCCTTGCACACAGGCCTGACTGGCGGGTTAGATCCGTGTCATCAGCACTTGGCACACAGCCAGCCTTCAGATTTGCACTTTCATGCATTCTTTTTAGGTCTAGGAACTGGCGTAATGTGCTCACCATTTTAAACCAAAAAACTGTTACTCGTTAAGGAGCCATGAAAAAGCAGCACAAGCTGGACGGGGTAGTACTAAAGAATAGTTAATACCACCCCAAGCACAAACAAGATTTGGGGAAGAATGTTAACATACTTAAGTGAGTAACTTGTTTTTAGGCACACGCCAATACCTTGGAAAAACCGTTCCTAACATAAAAATGGGCTCATGACAGAGAACGACTTTTTAATCAATTCAGACCATTTCTTTGAGGATTTTTAAAAGGAGAGCATTGCTCAGCCTTGTCTGAGTTACTGGGGAACTGAAATGTACACAGATGGCGCCTGAGGGCCGAGCCTCCCACCGCTTCCTACGGGCCGTGGCCCAGCAGGAAGAGCAAACGTTAGTGTTCTGGAGGGACACGGTCGGAGCATCTGGCAGGGCAGCGGTGCTCGGTGCTCGCAGCAATGATGCCCTGCCCTTCCCAAGCAAGTGCCAAGCTCCCTCTCTCCCTCACTTGTGCCTTCCTTTCTTCTCTCGCTCCCTCCCTCAGCCCTTCCCTGTCTCCTTCCCTCCAGCTTTCCCTCTCTCACTCTTTCACGGCACCACTCCTTCCTTCCCTCATCCAATCGAATCAATCTCTTCAGCATTATTATCTTACCTTGGGTGGAAGCTTCCCTTCAGATAAGACCAGAGTATCCCCGCTGCTGATCATCAGCTCGCTCAGGGAAGCATTCTAGGGGCAGAGAACAGATTCAGTTTGGGTATCTGGGTTAGCAGGACCTTTTCAGCAAAACATTAACAAGGATTAAGTGACATTCAAGCAGCGAATCTGTGGTGGTGGATTCAGAATCTACTGTGTCCCTGGGAATAGAGAGATAGGGAAGAACTTAAGAAAGGGACTCTGCCCGCAAGGAGCTTACACTCTGGTTAAGGAGACAAGATTCACAGACGTGAGAGAACAGCATGGAACCAGGACCCCAATGTTGTTGGCCCGGGCTGCAAAGATGAAGAGGAAAGGGAGATCCATGAGAGCTGGGGTGGGCAGGGAGGCTTTCAGAAAGGAAATGGAGGAGGGGTTGGGGGTAAGGTGGGATCTGTCTGCACTGGTGTGGTGACAGTGGTCATGGCCAAACGGAGGAAGGTGTGATGAGCAGGAATATTTATAGGAAAAAATAAAAAGGAACTGATGAGAAGATAGGTACGGGGGATGAGAAAAGAAGGAAGTCACCAGTGACTGGGATGCTCAAGCAGGGTCTCTTGTGGAAAGATGAGAACAGAAGTCAGGTGCCGGGTTCAGTTTTCATTTGTTTAGAGGTGGGAGGTAAGGCTTAAGTCCAACTTCACATAGCCCGAGCTTTGGGTGACCCCAAGACATTTAAGGAGGAATTTCCAATAGACAGCTGGACATTTGGGTCAAAAGCTCAGGGGAGAAGACAGGACGGGAGACAGACACAGGCGTCATCAACATGGAGGCGATAATCAAGCGCGTGGTTACGTCCAAGTCTTTGCTGTTTTCAACACCCCTCAGTCGGATAAAGTATCCCTATAATACAGGCTGTGGGGTCCTGGCTGAGCAGCCTCAGAACAAGGTCCCTTTGCTCCTCTTGGGAATGGGGGTCAACACAGCTCTCCCTCAGAGGGAACTCTGTGCTCTTATTCAACAATGCTGGAGCAAGGTGCTTGGGCACTGGTCATCTTCACTGGACTAGACTAATAGTAAGCATGAGCAAAGCAGAAGGTGGACAGGGGCAGGTTGGGGAGAAAGGGAACCCTCAAAGTTCTTGCTGTTAGAGAACCCCAATGTGAATGGCAGTCTAGGGTTCTGGGCCCTAACGGTGTTTAGAATTACCTTCAATTTAGAGCATCATCAGCCTAAGGACCCCAAAGAAACAAGGTAATTTCTCGAGATACGTTAAGGAGTCTGAGAAGACTCACGTGGCCAGCCACAGCCTCTGTGGCCTGCTAGGTGAGAGGACCCTCCTGGAAGGCCCCAGAGGACACTTCCCATGCTTGAGGACTGAGGACTTGGGCTTTGGATACTGACAACGCATTCACTCTGCCGGCTCATCGACGATCGAAGGAGATCATCTGTAACGCACTAACAGGAGTGCCTGACACACAGGAGGGGCTTCATAAATGCCTGGTCCCTCGCTCCTCCCCTCCATCCGCAGCCCCAACGCCTCCTGCCTTTCTGGGCCTAAGACCAAGACATGCCCTCCGTGTCAAAAGGAAGAGGAGGAGGGCTGACCGAGGTTCTCACTGAGGTAGTCGCCATCACCAAGGCAGCCCTCTGCCATTTCTAGAATATTCCAAAGTTCCTCTAAAACCATGAACCACCAAATGTGGGAGACGGGAGGAGCCGTGGAGGGTAGCTTTGGAAACGTAAAGTACTGCAGCAATCAGTTTGATTAGTATCATTAAATCCAAAATATAATTTTACAGATGAGAAAATGGGCTAGGAGACGTTAAGGGACATGTCCAAGGTCACCTGGTTAGTGACAGGCAGAGAGCCATGAGGACCACTCCTGCCTGCTGATGACCACCCCAACGCCCATGGAATGGTCCTGCTCACAGGGAGGGCAAGTCTACATCACTGAATGCAAGACAGACTTCACCACTCGGGGAGATCAAAAGTAAGTAGAAAAACATCTTACTTCCTCATTTAAAGGTTCTCCAGCTTCAAAGCACCAATCCATTTTGCGCAAATGCCACGCGTCACCTATGACAAAATAAAAATCTGCATGAAGGCATTCTTATAAGGATGCTCATCAAGATGCCACCTTTCTTTGGATCCAACGCAGCTCCAACAGGGTGATACGTGAGGGAGGCGGGGGCCAAGGGCACCCGCTGGTGCGTTGATGGACATACCTGCCCTGATGAAACGGGCAAGTGCATCACCCTTCCTCCAGCGTGCATGAGTGAGTGCAAAGAGGCCGGGCACATCCTCCCAGCACTTAATTCACCCCCTTTCACAGGGAGTTTCGGGCCTCCAACCAAATGCCACACAAGTTGCTGCATGCTATAAAAATTAATGAATTATAGGTGAATGGACATAAATAATGAGGGTATATAAAATCACTGGGGACAGACAAGGGGCAAGATAGGAGGGACAACAAAGAGGTGGGGAAGAGGGCAGAGGGACTGAGGCCGGGACGCTCTGAGAAGCCGGGACATCCGCCAGGAGAGGTGGGGCGGGCACCAGGATCTTTAAGCAATCTGCTCACGGCCAATAAAAGGCAGTAAGCTCAACTCCGCGCCGGGAGGAAAGGAAGAAAGATATCCCAAAGTGGAAGGCTCGCTAAGACGGTCTGGTCACAAGATTTGGATCTCTGGGCTGCAGTTAAAAATAAAGTAATGGTAGGCTCTTGGCCAGGGATGAACTCTGTGCAGCAAGGACCAAGAGAAGCATGTGCGTCTGTCTTATGAACATGGCGACGGAGGATTTAAATTGAAAACGGAAGATGAGGGGAAAGCTACTGGTGTGGGCCACGCCAAACACCAAAGAGAGAGATGCAGGTCTAGCGCTGGGCTAAGAATGCCGATCGGAAGGGGACGAGTATTTCCAAGAGACAAGACCCCAACCAAAACCGTGGTCTCAGAGACCAATATACAAATGGAAAATGAGGTAAGCCGGATCTCCTGGTGTGAGAAGGGAGTTCAAGTTCAGAGATGACATGAAGACATGGAGGGATGGTCCCAAGAGCAGGGCGTACTTTTTAATTCGAAGAGGACCAGACGCATCACCGGGCAGCCCACTATAGGAAGAAGAGTGCAGGGCTCTGAGTCACTCAGCAAGCACTTAGCAACTACTATGCCCGGGGATCAAAGACCAGACAGAACCGATGCCTGTCTTCGAGGAGCTTCCCTTCGGCCAGAACCCTCCCTGCTGGATCGAGCCTCCCACGCTGTGTCACCAGAAACAAGCCACAACTTCAGAGGTCAGTTTCCTCACCTGTAAAATGGGGATAAAGTACGTCCCAGAGTACTTACCTCGCAGCCTGGTTGTGAAAAACGAGATCGTGTCTGGGAAGCACTAGAGAGACATCAGCTACTGGAATACCATCGTCATCGTTATTAACATGTGGAAAATCCAGAGACCACTCAAGGAAAAGAAGAACATTTGTTGAGGATCAGCAGACCCTCAGACAGGGAATCTGGGGAACCCTCAGCGCCAGCACTGAGCCCAGACGCCGAGTGGCAGCTCTCCCAACTACACGGAGTAGATGTTCAATCCCAAACCCGCCTTCACAACAATCTCATTCTTCAAAAGACGGTGGGAGTGACGCTGGCCACCGCCCCCTGGACCTGACTGTGACCACTGAGGATGGCCTGGCTGCGGCAGCAGGAACAGTGGGGTCTTGGAAGGAGATGGCTATGCCACCCCCGGACAGCTCAGCCAGCACCCCAGAGAGGCACTGCTCCCTGTCCCTTCCTCCCAATCGATGCCGTCCCCACCCACTCTGTGTCCATAGGCCACCCTACTCTCCCCTTCCTCTGGGCTACTGCCAATCAACTTCCCGTCCATGACCAGCCTGATACACTGGGCCACCAGGAAGCTAGTGACTTCCAACCCCTCCCGGCCCCATCGCCTGCTCAGTGGCATCTGGCAGTCTTCATCCTCATGACGTCTCCACAGCATCTGACCCTACTCACCACCCCCACCTCCTGCTCAGCACTCCCCATCCCCATGGGCTCTTGATCTTTTCAAAAGAGATAAAATAGCTTGTTTTTCAATCTCATGTACCTTACACGTTTAAAAAAGAAGATTCTGAGAAAAAAGGGGTCCGTAAACGTCCCCAGATCTGCTACCCAAGGTGGGGCCTGGACACACAAAAAGGCAAAGTCCTAATTCGAGTGACTCTTCCTGTTTTCATCACAACAGAATTCTCTCCTGGTTCTCCTCAAACCTTCTGGCTGCTCCTTCTTCTGTATCTCAGCTCTTGTGAGTATACCCCAAAGGTCTGTCCTGGGTCCTCATCTCTCTCGGTGACCTCAGGATCTCCCATGAGTTCAGCTACCACCTATGAAACTCTCCTATTTATAAACACGACCCAAGTTTTTCTCTCACATTCCAGTCCCACATCACCAGCTGGCTACTGGATATCTCCAAATGGAGGCCCCCAAAGAACCGAACTCCCGTCCAAAACAAAACTCTGGTCCCTTCCCCTTGTCCTCACTTCTCTGTTCTGTTGGGGACACCCTCGTTTAATCCCACCAGCCAGGTCCGACAAGAATTCTCTACTGTACGGACTCTTCCTCCCCCTCACACCTCTCCTCCAGTCAGAGTCTCCTGCATCCATCACCTGCTCTCCACTTATCTAGCCACCACCCCACTGCAGGCCCGTGTCACCTCCTGCCTGGACAACAGAGTCCTAACTGGTCACCTTGACGCATGTCTTTCCCCTTTCCAACACACCCACCAGAGTTGCCCAAGTGACAGTGCTAAATCAAGGGCTCAAAAGCCTCAGGGGCTCCTTCCTTCTTGCCTTGAGGACAGACTACAAACTCCTCTGCTGGACCCTGATAGCCCTTCCCAAACGGTCTCCAGTCTAACAATGCAGGCTTACCACACAGTCCTCCCCGAATGTACTTTACGGTCCAGCCAGTATTCTCCCATCACGTAACACTCCTGCTCCCACCACACCTTGTCCCCTGGGAAGGCAGAGTTCAAGTGAAACTTCCTGATGAAGGCTGACTCTGACCCTGAGCTGCTAGCACCCCCCAATTACTCTGGACACATTCACATTCACTTTTCTGTGGATGCACCAGCTCCCTGCCAGTTGGCTCCTCTGTATCTCCAGCATCTGGAACAGATGCATGTGCCTGAGAAGTGTTTGCTGAACGGAAGGCTGGGGAGGGGACCATGACTAAAAGTCCCACAGGACAAGTCAACCCACGCAGAACCTAATGACAAAATCCTAGAAACTCAAGTGGATGCACAAGGAATTCACGGACAAAGAGAGATCTGTAAAGCCTTGAAGAGCGGCTGGAAGTGGTTGAGGACAAATCCCCAAGAGACGTGGTGGTCTTGTAAAGGCATCCATCAGACCCACTCAAGGTCCAAATAAACTGAGGCGGAAGACAGGAGTGAGAGGTACAAGACCACGATGACCCACAATGGAGAAAGGGCAGAAAGACTCAACTCTACCTCCATCAATCTGGACCTGACAAGACATGTCAAAAATGGTTAACAAGGTAGTGCGTCATTGGGGAATTCCAGTGGCCAAGCCAGGACTCTGAAGGACTGGCAGATAGGACGATGGAAAGGCCACACAACTGGAGATGGGCAAACACTGCCTTCATTTTTTGAGGGAATAGGAGTCTCTGGACTAATGCAGACCAGCGATCTTGCCTTTCCTTCTGGCAACACCTCCGGCAACCAGACTGCTCAACTCCAGCGACTTCCTTCCCTCCCAACCTCAGCCACCCACCAACACGGTCACACCTCCAGCTCTGCCATTTCAACTTCCATGAAACTCCACTCCGAGTCTCTTTTCTCCCTAAACGTATTTTTTTGCCTGAATCATGACCTTTGGTTCCTGAACCATCCCTACTGTCCCAATGCATCTACCTCAGTTCACCTTCACACCTGTACTGACCCAATGGTTTCCTACCTTCATGCTCCACTAGCTACTAACCTGAAATTCTTGGTCCCCACTCAGCCAGTCAGTTCTCACGGCGGATGCCCACCGTTCAAGTACAGATGAATGGTCATAAAGAGTTTATATAGACAAGAAAGTAGGCATATAGGATCAAGTCATGTGTTCTCTTGGTCACTTATTTGGGATATTACTATAGTCACAGTGACGTTCCTTAGGCATTAATCCTCCCTCTCCTGTTCTACAACTGAAGATTGTGAATGGGATAAAAATCACACCACCCAATAGATCCACCACCTACAAATCATGGTATCCAACCTGAGCACCATCAAGGGACAACAGAACCACTACACTTGGCCTTCAATGTCACAGTTCCAAGAAGTGCTTACAGAGATAGAAATGGCAGTGAGAAGAACAAAGATGAGATAACAGTGGCCCCATGAGAGAGCCATGGCGGACCCAGCGTATTCAGAAATCAGGGCTGGAGGCGATACGACAGGTGGTCGCTGAGGGGCTGACATACAGAGAATATGGAGGAAAGGGAGGTTACCAAAGAGTTAGCCAATATATGAAGGAGAGAACATCAGTGACTTTGCACCAGAGCCTACGTTCTTACGTAGGCAAACTCTTCATGAGGCTTACTGCTAGGGAGGAAGAAGGCTTTCACAAGTGATCTTCAACAATGGGCCAGCATCTTGAGCACTCCCAATTAAATTAAAGATGTGGAGAACATCAAATTTCACTGGGCTTATTTGTGGATTATGAAAAAGCATCTGATTTGGCGGGAATCAAACACAGGTTAAAGGCCATTTTCCAACAAGAAGTTCAGAGTGAGGACAGGATGCCTGTCATCACCGCCATCATTCAACATGGTGCTAGAAATGCTGGTTATAGCAACGAGAGAAGAAAAAGAAATGGAGGCTATTAGAAGAGGCAATGAGGAAGCAAAGCTATCCCTCTCTGCAGATGACATGAGGGTATACTTACAGAATCCTAGAGATTCAACTAAAAAACCAGTTAAAACAATTAACAACTTCAGCAAAGTTGGAGGATATAAATAAACCAGCAGCATTTCTACAGGCTACCAACAATACCCAGCAGGAGGAGAGCTAGAAAGAGAAATCCCATTTAAATAACTACTACGGACGAGATAAAATACTTGGGAGTCTCCCTGCCAAGACAAACCCAGAAACTATATGAACACAATTACAAAACACTTTTCACACAAATAAAGTCAGATCTAAACAATTAGAAAAATATTAATTGCCAATATAATGACAATTTTAGCTAAATTAATTTACTTATTCAGTGCCATACCCATCAAACTACGAAAGAATTATTTCATAGAGCTAGAAAAATAGTAACAAAATTTATCTGGAAAAACAAAAGGTCCAGAAGATCAAGGGAATCAATGAAAAAAAGGTTAAGGAAAGTGGCCTAACCATAGCAGATATCAACCTTCATTATAAATCATCAAAACAATCTGATACTGGCTAAGAAATAGAATGGAGACTCAGTGGAATAATCAAGTACATAAAACACAGAAGTAAATGACCACTATGGCTGGTACGATGGATACAGCACTAGGCCTGGAGTCAGGAAGACAACGTCCTAAGTTCAAATCTGGCCTCAGATACTTAGTAGCCATGTGACCCTGGATAAGTCATTTAACCGTGTTTGCCTCAGTTTCCTCATCTGTCAAATGAGCTGGAGGACATGGCAAACCACTCCAGTGTCTTGGCCAAGAAAACCCCAAATGGGATCACAACAAATTATCATGTTAATCTAGAGTTTGATAAATCCCAAAATTCCAGCTTTTGCAGTAAGAACTCAACCATTTAATAGAAATTGCTGGGAAAACCGGAAAGCAGTTTGGCACAAACGAGACATAGAGCAGCAACTCACACCATACACCAAGATGAGGTCCAAATGGACCACTGATTTCGTCATAAAAGGTCATATCATAAGTAAATTAGGGGAACATGAAAAAATGTGCTTTTCAGATCTATGCATAAGGGAAGAGTGATTGACCAAGCAAAACAAAGGAGATCAGAGGAAGCAAAACAGATCATCTGGATTACATGAAACTAAAAAGCTTTTCGCACAAACAAAACTAGACAGAAAACAGAAAACTGGGGGAAATTTTTCAACAAGTTTCATTTCTCAACTACATAGGGAAGTGAACCAAATTTATAAAAATAAGAGTCACTCCCCAGTTGATAAATGGTCATAGGATATGAACAGGAAGTTTTTCAAAAGAAGAAATCAAAACTATCAATAGTCACATGAAAATTGCTCTAAATCAGTACTACTGATTAGAGAAACACAAATTAAAACAACTCTGAGACAGCACCTCACGCTTACCGGATAGGCTCACATGACAGAAAAGGAAAATGACAAACGCTAGAGGGGCTGCAGAAAAACTGGGACAGTGACACATGGCTGACGGAGCCGTAAACTCATCCAGCCATTCTGGAGAACAGTTTGGAACTATGCCCAAAGGGCTGTAAGACTGTGCATATCCTCTGACCCAGCAATACCACTTCTGGGGCTGTATCCCAAAGAGATCGTGCAAATGGGAAAAGGACCCACATGTACAAAAATATTGATAGCAGCTCTCTGTGTGGTGGCCAAGAATTAGAAATTGAGGGAATTTCCAATTAATTAATTGGGTAATGGCTGATATGATTGTGATGGAATATTATTTTGCCATAAGAAATGATGAGCAGGAGGTTTCAGAAAAACCTGGGAAGACTTCTACGAACTGATGCAAAGTGAAGTGAGCAGAACCAGGAGAAGGTTGTGCACAGTCTCAGTGATATCATAGGGATGATCAACCGTGAAAGACTGAGCTACTCTGATCAAGAAAACGATCTAAGACAATTCCAAGTGAGCCATGATGGAAAATGCCATCCATTTCCAAAGAGAGAACTAAGGAACTCTGAGCGAAGATTGAAATAGAATTTTTTTTAAGTATAACTCTTTATTTTGGCTATTTTGTTTGTGTTTTCTTTCGCAACGTGACTATATGGAAATATATGTTGCATGATCTCACATGTATAATCAAAATCAAACTGTTTGCCTTGTCAAGGAGGGGACTGGGACAGGAGGGAAAAAGAATCTGGAACTTTAAATTTTTTTAAAAATGACAGCTAAAACATTTTTACATGTAATTGGGAAATACCTAAAGAAATTAATAAAAATAATTTTTAAAAGAAAGAAAAATAAGTCAAACCAAGTAGCCTACTGAGCCATGCAATAACTTTATCTCCAAAGAACCAGCACTGAGGGTCACCCAGAAGGCAATGGTGATGGGCATGTGGGGTGTGAGCAGGCTGCCACATAACCAATGGGGAGCTTTGAGGAACAAGGGATGAGCTGGTCACAGGAGGCCGCCAGAATCCTCCACTACTGGGCCCCTTGCACACCAGATGGGTTCTCCGTGACAAAGTCATGGTAAGATGCAGACAAGGGATGCACGGGATGTGCGGACACGAACAACAGAGACATCTCCAAAATAAGGAGGTCACCACTTACCTGGGTCCTTCTGCCCTTCCCGTAACCCGAGCCCCCGGCTCTTGCCCCTAACCCTGCCCTCAACTCTCACACTGGAAGCACCAGGCCCCGTTTCATGGTGAGGTCCTCAGACCACGACTCTGACCGCCACCTCTTCTCTTCCCGCTTCATGGCCATCACCTCACCCCGCGGACAGGCAGGCAGGAATTATCCACCCTCCTTCTTTTTCCTCTTTGGGTTGATTCTAAAGGGCCTTAATTTCCCCCCAAACACCATCTATCTACTGGGTGCCTTCAGTTTTCAAAGAGTCCAAAGAAGGTGTAGTGGCACCGCCTGCCAAGAGCGCAGGAAAGAGGCCCAAAGGTCCCAGTGGTTTATAACATGGGAAGGACTGTGAGGAAAGGCGGTAAACCATGCCGCACATCCTCTCACATCACTGACCTTGCAGACCAGCTTTCTCCAGCATCTTCTTCAAACACTAAGGAGAAAAAAGCACAGAGAAGTGATGCTTCAGGTTAGTGGGATCCTCAGAAGACAGGCGAGCCTCGTCAGCAGGCCCGTCTTTCTGAAGGGGCAAAGCCCACGCCCACGACGCCCAGGACGCCCAGGCAGCCACCCCTCAACCTTGGCCAGGCCTCTGGCACAGGTGCCTCCCCACTGGGAAGGCCAGGGCACCCCCCACCAACTCGGGGCACAGAGGACCTGGGCTCTCCTCGGGGCAGGTTGCTGTCACTTACTTCGCTCACAGAGATCGTCGACTCCACGATGATCTCCATCGTCAGGCTGGACTCGAAGTCACTGCCCACGATGAAAAACAGGAAGAGCTGGGAAAGGCCAACAAGGTCAGGTGAGGGGGACCTTGGCACGTCCCTCTTTCCAGAAGCAATCAGTTTACAACATGCCCCCACCTGGCCTCTTAGAAAAGTGGACTGGTGGTGACAGTCCTGCCCCACCTCTCACCTCTCACGGACCCCAGGGGGTGGCGCCTCCTGGCAATCCCCCAGTGAGGCTGAGCCCTAAGGATGCGTGTGACCCTTGGGAGCCTGGAGTAGGTGGAGTACGAGGACGCTAACAGGCCCCTGCTCAAGCTGAGAAAAATGGAGCTCAGACAGGTGCAGCAGAACCAAAGGGCTGCTGCGAGCTTGGACCGCTCACAGACCTCAGGAGAGACCAAGGGCAGGGTGGACACGCTCCCAAAAGGTCTGCAGGCTGGCCACAGAAGTGCCTCCCCAAATCCCCCACCCATACACACTGCACACATATGTACATACACATGCACATGCACACACGCACACACACCACCCCTATACATGTGCACATGCACACATGTACACACATACCCCACAGTGTGTACATGCAGTACATGCACACACATGTGCCCACATGTGCACATACATGCACACACCACCCATACACACATGCGCACGCACATGCACACACATACCCCCACATACTGTGTACATGCAGTACATGCGTACACGCATGCACACATACACATGCACGTGCAGAAGCACCCACACACACATACTTGTACACATGCACCAGCACACATATACACACATACATGCAAGCACCCACACATACACATGCATGCATACACTTGCACATGCACACATGCACCACACTTGCATACATGCACATACATGCACACACAATACACATGCACACACCTACACTTGCGCACACATGCATAGTACACATGTGCACACATGCACGCACTCAGATACACACACACTTGACATGCGCATGCACCCCACACTTGCATGCATGTACATACAGATGTGCACATGCACACACACACACGTGTGCACGTGCATGTTCACACACACACACACACACACACACACACAACACCACAGGGTCGGGACCTCCGGGCGATGCCAGGTCATGGCTTCAGCACCCAGGCTATGTTACCTGGGAGGAGGTCGGAGCTTTGCCACGACACAGTCCCAGCAAACTGCCCATCTCCATCTCTGCTTCGGCCACAGTGTAATGTTCTGGCACTGTCAAGGACACCAACGGATCTGGTGAGCACTGTCGGCCTCGGGCCCTGCTCAGGAGCCCCGCCCAGCCTCGACAACACTAAGCTGACAAAGGGGAGGGCAGAGCTGGGGCAGAGCCGGAGGGTCCTCTGCCAAAAGAACAGTCTCAAGGACAAAAGGAAATGAAACACCCCAGGCTGCAGCATGAGAGGCTAAGGAAGGAGCTCTTTGGTGCCAGACACCAAACTCAGGCCTGGGCCTGCCTTCAGGAGGCTGACCCTCTCATCAGACTGGAAGGCACGGACATAGCCGCCTGATGGCCTAGGGCAGGAAGGAGGGCAATCGGGACAGTCCGAGGACTGGGGGACCACGCCTCCTGCATCCCACAAGGCCAAGGTGTGTCCGTGCAAGAAGGACTGGCCTGTTCAGCTTGGGCCCAGAGCCTCAGGAAGTAGCACAGCCTGCCCGTCTTCAGGAGGCGAAGAGGCAGGGGCAGGACGCATCTTGGTCCAGAATGACCTCCACGAGGGGGATTCCCATGAAGCTGGAGAAAAAGCAGCCATGGGCACAGAGCCAGAAAGGCTCAGAAGGTGTGGCACTTGAGCAGGGCCTGAGCGAAAGGAGTGACGGTGTGTGTATGCGTGTTTGCACATGTGTGTGCAGGGGTGCACTCAGCCTCTCACTCCAGGGAATGGCCTAGGGGAGGCCCAGAGGCAGGAGGGGGCCAGCTGGGTCAGAGGTCCACTTAACAGAGGGGGCAGCAGGGTTAGGCTCAGGCTCTAAATCCTAGGCTGGGGGAGCCTGGGCTTTCTTCCATCAAGACAGACTTTGGGCCAGGAGAGGTCAGTAAGACCAAGTAAGGCCAAGAGGAACACACACAAATGAGCCAGACGGCCCCTCAGGGCCCGGTTCTTCTGTGCAGCCTTCCCGAGGCCGGCCACTGCAATGACAGGGAAGCTTTTGGTGGACTGGCTCATGAATCTTAGCGTCACTTCGCGCAGACCTCTCTGGAAGTCAAACGAGGCCAGCTTATGCAGGGACTCTTCCCTCGCCCCCACAGGGGGTCTCTGAGGAAAACACTCACATCCATGAAGAAAGGACTGAGCACAAAGGAGATGGGACCCCAGGGCAGCCAGCCTGTCCCCTGGGCCCTGAGGACACCAGGGAGGACCACGGCAGTAAAGCTCGGAAATCAAGTGAGCCCAGCGGACAGTGTGCTGGATCTGAATCCAGTAAGAAGTGGGTTCACATCTTACTTCAGAAACTTCCCAGCTGAGGTCCCTTCTCATCTATAAAAGGGGCTGGACTTCACAGCCTGTGGAGCGGCCCAGAAGTTACCAAAGACACAGCCAAACCACCCGCCACCCTCACATCCGGGTCACCAAGGCAGCCTCCTGCCACCCTCCACGAGGGCAGCCACAGGACCAGGCCATGGCAAGGAGACCCCACCTACCTGGAGAAAGCAGCTGCCCATTTCGATCGATCAGCCTCAGGCAGCTGTTATTAACTGGAAGCAAAGAGAGCACAAAAAGGCAGGTCAGAGTGCGAGAGTCAGAGAATCCCCAACCTTGCCCCCACACTCCGGCCCCCTACGCTGCCTGGGCCCCCCAGGTCCTCCAGGAGAGCTCCCTGCCATTCACCGTTCTGAGCACTGCCCTTTCCCACACCCCTGGGGATTCCAATCACTTATTTAAAGCTTGCGTCACCCCCCCCAAGACACTAGCTGGTTTTACTTTCATCTGTGCATCTGCCAAAGCCCTGCCTCCTTCCTGAAACACGCACTTGGCTTCACCTGAAAATGCACCTACCCAGTTCCTCCTGCAACCCCAGCTCCTTGACAGCTTTGATTCGAATGTCCAACAGCATCTGAAATAGAAAAGCATGCCAAGGACATGTTGGGCATGACCTGGCACCCTTGGTACCTAAAAAACATGCAAATGATTGGGCATAACTTGGCACTCCAGTACCCAAAAGACACATGAATGATTGGGTATAACCTGGCACCCCTGGTACCTAAAAGACACACAAATGACCATCCCTAACTAAGCATCCTGGACCACACAGGGTGGCCAGGAGGCAAGAAGCCAAGGAAGGGAGCAGAGGTGCACATGGAGGGAGCGCCTGGTCATGGCTCTCAGCCCATTTTTAAAGAGTTTTATATTCCTGGCTACTACAAAAGTTATCCCATCCCAAAGAGCTCTTTCTTTGAAATCTGGGCTTCTACACATCCAATACTCCACCCCATAGGCCACTAAGAAACTCCCTTTAAACAAGGACAATGGAATTAACGTTGACCCAAAAGGCAAAAAATGAATAAAAAATGTTCAAAGTTTTTATGATTACAAACGAAAAGAAACAGACTTGTAAACTGGGGAGTTTGTAAAACTGATTTTTAGGTAGAGAGAGAGAGACAGAAGACTCACATCAACTCAAGAGAATCTTCCAATCTTAGAGCCCAGAGGCCAAAGAAGCCAACTCACCCATGCTCCCTTCCCCACCCAACCACAGACTAGGCACAAGGGCTGGAAGATGGGGAAACTGAGGCTCGGGGAAGTTGGCTTAGAATCCAGCTGTGCCCTTCACTCCCGGCAGCCTCCACAGAGGGTCCTGCCATGGAGCTCTCTCCCGGACAGCCCGCCCACTGCATGGAAGGGACTGTGAGGGAAACAAGTCCTAAGAAAGTGGGGCCTAGCTGTTCGACACAAATCCTGAACAAATCAAAGGTTTTCCAGGAAACATGTCATCCCAGAGGGACTGGTTTCACAAGGATTTGGGGAAACAAGTGTCAGAGAATTCACAGGAAAAGGAAACCCAAAACAATCCACTTCATGGAGCCTTACGAATGGACTGGCTTTCAACAGGTCCCAAAGTCTGAACTGGCTCTTCCCCATAAACCCAAGAAGTCATGAGACACTGGACGATTCAAGAAGCACAAACGACTTCCTGAAATTCACAACTTCAGTTTCTTTAAACCAGATGAATGAAGAAACACCCTAAGTGACCAGGGAACTCCAAAACTCTGGACTTTAGGGAAAGTTTTAGGAAAACTAGGGAATGAACATTTTCTGGAGAATTCTAAGAACGGGTAAAGGAGATTTTCGAATGGGAGAGACTTTTGCAAACAATCCCACTTCCGTGACTTTGCCAGACCACTAAGCACCTCTGGCTTGCCAAATTCAGCCAGAGAGGCAGCGCAGGGGGCCGGGGCTGATGCCAAGGACGGGGTTTCCTACCCCCACCTCCCCTCCCCTCTCACTCTTCTCACCCCCCTCCTCCCAGCCATCCCCTGGGCAGCCCCAGACCCGGCACTCTCCCTACTGTCGCTCACGCTCTGGCCCCACTCTTCTTTACTCACTGTTTCAGTAGTCGCCGAAACTTTCACGTGCTCCTCCTCGGAATCTGCTTGACACAGATTCTTAACGTGCATCCAGTTGAAGTTGCTCAGAGGGCTCGCCCATCTGCTTCCGGTCAGCATCAAGCTGCAAGCAAGGGACAGATTCACAAAGTGACACTCTCACGTTCCCTGTACCCCGGGGGTGACCAACGTTTCTCAAACTCCACACAGGTCACTTTAAACGAGCCCTCACAAAACGAGCCCTCCACATTCCCGGAGGCACTGCTTCAGCCAAAAGAAGACAAGGCCGCTCGTCCTTAAAAGGGAAACAGGCTCCCCTACCGAGTGCGTGTCCGGGCTTCCGTGACCCAGTGGCTCTGCGGCCACCTCCCCTCTGGGCATCACGATGACGCACACAGCCTCTGTGAGAGGGGATGGCCGAGTGCCCTGTAAAATGGCGTCTCCTCCTGCCTTTCCGTCCAGCACGAAGCAACCCAGAATCCTGCTCAAGAGAACTCCTCGAAGCCGCTGACCACCACCCCCACGCTTCCGTCCCCCTCCAGCAAGAGCCCTGCAGCGTCCTCCCCTTCAGAGTCAAACTCTAGGAAGGGCCTTTCCCTCCTTCCTCAATCTCACCTCACACTGCTCTGCGAGGTGGCCGAGGGTCTCTTCTCAGCCATCATCCCTCTCACCACCCCCTCGGTCCCCAGCGTCTGAGGCTGCTGACCACCCCACTCAGGGAGGCTTTCCTGAAACGGCTTTCTGCTGGCTCTCCTGCTTCGGCATCAGCTCATCAGCCACACCCAACCCCAAGCGGGGGGGTGTCCCCCTACGCTCTGTTCCGGGCCCTCTCAGCTCATCTCCTTAGCTCCCAAGGCCGTGCCAACGAGCACTATGGAGGCGACACTCAGCCAGGCGTGTGAAGGCCCAGGCTCTCCCTGATCTGAAGTCCTACAACACCAACCGTCCTATGGAGCCCCGCAAACCAACCCTGAGTCAGCACATCCAAAGGACAAGTCCTTATCTCTCCCAAACACCGGCCGGCTCCTCTTCCAACGTCCCTGCCGCTGCAGCAACTCCATCAATTCTGTCACCCAGACAGGATGCCACCTCAGGTCTTCTGACACCTCCTTCAGCTCTCTCACCCTCTAAATTCCATCCGCTGCCAACTTTTTGTGAGTTCAACCGCCATCTTCTCTGTCACACAGCCGCCACTCTCTCCTCAATGCCCCCCGGGAGCATCCCAGCAGCCTTAGCGCCCCGTTCTGCGCAGCTGCTGAGCAGACACTCTTCCAGTCTCACCTGGCATTCCCCAAGCCAAGAAGACCCTTCCCCAGCTCCCAAAGCCCTTTCCAGTCCGGTTCCCACTGCCCTGAACCTGTTCCTACACGCTGTGGTTTAGACAAACCAGCCTCTGCTGCCCCCTCCTCCATGCCAGGAATGCTCTCCCTGCTCACCTCTGACCCTCAGGAACGCCATCTTCCCTCCAGGTTCAGCTCAAGTTCCACCTTCCACAGGAAGTCTGTCCTGATCCTCCCACATGTGAGCGTCCCCTTCACGCCTCTGGAAACTGCTCCGTCCTTACACACCTGGCCTAACGCTGGGGGAGTCACCAGCTGAATGAGCCACCCCACCAGTCAGCCGCAGCATCCTCCTGTTACCTGGTTTCACTGGCTGTGAGAATTTCAATACTGGGAACTTCCAAGTCAGATGATCAGAGGGATGGAGGGACAGGATAGGTCTCTGTCAACTTTCAAAAACTCCCCAAAAGAATGACGCGCTTGTCTCCACGGGCCAACATGCCAAGAACCTTAACAGGAACTCAGCAGCAGACCATGCAGACCTAAAACCCGTCCAGCCGTCTGTAGGAGGAAGGGGGAAGTACAGGAAGGTGGGTCCACACTGCGCCTGAGGCAGCTCTGCTCAGTCAGAAAACTGCAGAATGAGGGAAATGAGACAGGGGTCGCACGAGCCTGTGGAACTCCATTTCCAGGCCTGAAGGAAAGGGGACTGGCAGCCAGATGGGGTCAGGTCAGTCGTCCTCCACAGACTGAGGTCCATGAAAAGTGAATCCTCCATGAGGAAAGAGGCTGGCGTAGCTTTGAGGCCTAGTCCCTAAGAGCCACCATCAAAAGGAAAAGTCAGAAAGTAGGCAACCGCTAATGAATGAAGAAGGAAGAAAACTCATTTAAAAAGCCAGAGCACAAGCAGATAAGTCAACAGTAAAGGGGAGGTGGCCACCAAGGCACCCCAACCATTGCAAATGTCCTTTAATCACTGAGACCCAGCCCTTGGTGGCACAGAGGATAGTGAGGATCCCAAAGGAATATCAAACCATAATCAGGTGCTTCCAGACAGCTTGAGAGAAAAATCTGAATCTTCAAAGCCATTCCAAGGGAACAAATTGGCAGAACTTCTGTGCTCCAAGGCAGAAATCCTGAACCAGGGGTGGTGAGTCTCTTCGAAGACACGAGCGAGCGAGCAAATGGGAAATGCGGCTCCACAGAAGGGGAGGACCCTCTAGAGGGCTCCAGTCTCCCTGCATGAGACAGATGCTAGAGTGGGGTGCAGGGGGACGACGGGCTCGAGAAGGCCCCCAAGGAAACATCCCTGACTTCTGAACACCAAAAACAAAGGAATACATAGGTGGCCTCCAGGAAAAAACCCTATGCTGCAACGCTAAGACACAGGGCGGGGGGCGGGGGGGAATGTAATAATTCCAATAGCAAACGATAACTTCTACAGGGGGTCAGGAAGAGGCCTTCCAAATGGAACAAAGAGAGAATCTCGTAACACAAAACTCCTTTGCACTCACCAAAGGCTACCACATTGAACAGAACACATTCACCAAAGTAAAGGGGCTCAAGTCACAAGCCAAAGTGACATGCCCTGCCCACCTGCACTTCATCATCAGTGCTAAAGAGACAGACTCACCAGAAGCACTCCTACATAAAAAACCCAAGCGGGAGCAGACTGCTACATCTGCACTCACCTACGCAACAGAAACACAAAAAAGGTAAGTAAATACAACCAAGAAAACACAAGTGAGGAAATAATTTAACCCATTTTTATTAAAAGGAAAAGGGGAAAATATAGAATTGAACAAATTCTTGAAGAAACTAGAGCTAAAAGACTTAGGGCATCTTCTAAATGAGACTGAAGAATATGTGCGCTTCTCTGCATCACATGGAACTTTTACAAAAATTAACCACTTCTTAGAGCACAGAAATCTGGCAAACAATGGGAAAAAAAGCAGATAGAGTAGACATATCTTTTACAGACCATCACATAATAAAAAGTGCATGTGGTTCAGGGAGTACAAACAAAAGACAGAGATCTGAATGGAGACTTAACAATGAAATCCTAAATAACAAGTGGGTCAAAGAAGAAATCACAGAAATAATTAGTAATTATGTAAAAGACAATAATGATGATGAAAGCACATAACAAAATTTCTAGGATGTAGCTAAAGGAGTCTGGGGTGAGGGTGGGGTGAATAATATCCCTAAAAACATACATTAACAAAATAAAAAAACTTTTAGTCAACCCAATTAAAAACAAGGATAGAAAAATCAAATCAATAAAATAGCAAATGATTAAGCTAAAATCGTAACTAAACCTAAAGAAAAATAGAACTATCAGAACCCACTAACTACAATTATACACTACCAGAACTGAGAACACCAAAGAAATAGAGAAATACATTAAAAAAAAAATACCCAATCCAACAGAAAACCAAACAGAGATCCTAAATAATCCAATTTCACTAAGGAAATACAACTTTAGCTCCAACGAACTACCAAAGGAAAAATTTCCTAGTATTGATGAACGCGCAGGAAAATTAATACCAATTATAGACAGAAAAAAATGAGAAAGTGCTCTACCCAACTTCTCTTTAATCATATATAGAGCTAATGCCTAAACCACAAGAAAATAAAGCAAAGCTAGAAGGGAGAACTACAGACCAGAATCAGGAACAAATGAGTACTCAAAAATTTTAAATAAAATCCCATTAAACAGACTACATAAACTTGTTGAAGAAATTGATCAGCAAGACCAAGTGGACTTTAGACCCAGGACACAGGGACAGCACATTAGAAAAACAATCAGCAAAATTAATTTCATTAAAACCGAGACATGCCAAACGTCAAGATCACCTCAAGAGTTTCAGAAAAAGCTTAGGACAAAGCACAACACTCATTTTTTGCTAAAAAACAAACAGATAAACCTCAAAGTACACACCTAAAGAACTTTTTTTTTTTAATGTAAAGAATATCTATGTAAAACTAAAGCTTCACATATGCGATGGGGAACCACAAAGAAGCTTTCCAGTGAATACAGCAGCAGGACAAGGATGTCCACTCTCCCTGCCATTATTTGACATATAACTCTAGAGAAAAGAATTAAAGGTGTAAAGATCGGCAAAAAATAGACAAAACTATCCCTATACACTAATAACCTGATGCTTTATTTAGAAAATCCTAGGGAATCAGCAGAGTTACTGAGACAATGGGTTCTGCAAAGTTATAGGTTAAAAAAAAAACCCCACAAAAATCAACAGCATTCCAAGAGGCAATAAAGGGAAATCCCATTCAAAACAATTTCAAAATGTATAAAGTATTTGGGAATCATTTTGCCAAAATACATTCAATACTAGTTTCAATTATAAGGTGTTCCTTAAGGAAATAAAGAATAATTTAAATTGCTAGAGGAATATTCAATGTGCATGCCTGGGCCATTCCAATATAATGAAAATGAAAACTACCAAAGTTAATTTATATTTTTAACACTATGATAATCAAACTACCAAAGGGATACTTTACAGAACTCAATAAAATAGTAACAAAATTCACTTGGAAAAACAAACGATCTAGATTATCAAGGGAAATTATGAAAAGTGGGAAGGATAAAGGGAGGGATGAAGGGGAATAGCACTTCCAGATGTCAAACCAGATTATAAAGCAGCAGCCGTTTGGCTAAAAAATAGAGAAACAAATAAACGGAGCAAACGAGATAATGCCCAGAGATGGAGGGTCTTGTTTGTGAAACAACCAGGAGGCCAGTGTTAGTAGACTGAAGAGGATGTGGGGGAGAATAGAGTAAAGTGTCAGAAGACTGGAAAGGAAGGAGGAAGATGGGTGATGAAGGGCTTTGAAGGCCAAACAGAGCATTTTGTATTTGATCCTGGAGAAAATAGAGGAGTTGTTGGAGTTTACTAAGTAGGGGGGTTGGACTTGCACTTTAGGAAAATCACTTTGGTGGCTGAATGAAGGACGGATTGGAGTGGAAAGAGCCATGAGGCAGGCACTCTGAGCAACCACGCCACCCCCATCCCTATCCCCTGCCCAGCAGCTATTGCAATAGTCCTGGTGTGAGGAGATAAAGGCCTGCACCCAGGTAGGGGCAGTGTCAAAGGACAGAAAGGAGTGGTGTGTTCCAGAGATGCTGCAGAAGTGAAATTGATAAGAGATGCTGCAGAGGTGAAACTGACAAGAAATGCTGCAGAGGTGAAACTGACAAGAGATGCTACAGAGGTGAAATGGACCAGAGGTGCTCCAGAGGTGAAATGGACCAGAGATGATGCACAGATGAAACTGACAAGAGATGCTGCAGAGGTGAAATCGACAAGAGACGTTGCAAGAGGTCAAATCTACAGGCCTTGGCACCATATTGGATACGGGGAGTGAGAGAGAGTGAAGAGTCCAGGATGACTCCTAAGTTGAGAGCCTGAGGAACTAGGAGAATGGGGGTGCTCTCTGCAATAACAGGGAAGAGAAGAGGGGAGAGAGTTTAGGGGGAAAGATAATGAGTTCTGTTTTGGACATAACGAATTTAAGGTGCTTACTGGATATCTGGTTCAAGATGTCTGAAAGGCAATTGGAGATGCAAGACTGGAGCTCAGCAGAGATTCTGGGGCAGAAAGGGGAGATTTGAGAATCATCTGAATAGAGATGGTAATTAAATCTGTGAGAACTGATGAGATCCCCAAGTGAAGTAGCACAGAGGGAGAAGAGGCCCAGGACAGAACCCTGAAGGACACCTGTGGTTAGAGGGTGTGACCTGGAGGAGGATCCAGCAAAAGAGACTGAGAAGGAGAGGTCAGAGAGTAAGGAGAACAAGGAGAGACTAGCGACCCAAAAACCTAGAGAGAAGAGAGTATCAAGGAGGACAGAGTGAGCCACAGTGTCCAAGGCTGCAGGGGGTCAAGTAGAATGAAGACTGAGAAAAGGCCATGGACTTGGCCACTAAGAGATTACTGGTCAATCTGGAGAGAGCAGCTTCAGTGCAATGATGAGGTCAGAAGTTTGACTGTAAGGGATTAAGAAGAGTGAAAGGAGAGAAAGTGGAGGTATGCGTAGGTGGTCTTTTCAGCCACTTGCTTCTGCCACAAAGGGCAGAAGAAATATAGGAAAATGTTAGCAGGGACAGAGGGGTCAAATGAGGGCTTTTTTCAGGATAGAGGAGACATGGGCATGTTTGTGGGCAGTAGGGAAGGAGCCAGTAGAGAAGGAGAAAGTGAAAATAAGTGCAGGAGTGGGGATGACAGAGAGGGGTACAAGGTGCAACAGGGTCACCTTAGCAGGTAGAGGGATTAACCTGGGTAAAGAGTGAGGTCACCTCATCACGTGAGACAAGGCTGAAGGAGGGGCAGAAGGAACCTGAGTGATAAATGAGGAAGGGAAGAAGTGGGGAGTTCATGACGAATGGCCTCAGTTTTTCTGTAAAATATAAGACAAGGTTCTCGACAGAAAGAGGAAACAGGGAGGAGAATTGAGGAGGGATGAGAGGGTTTGGGACAGCTGCAGACATCTGTACTGACAAAGGATGGAAAGAACCCATTTTGCAGAGCCTGATGTCAGAAAACTTAAGTAACATTCAGGGAAAAGCGTGCCCCTTGTTTTATGGGAGACCTAGAAGTCGAGAATTCCATGACAGACCCAGACGGAGAGGGGACAGCTAGGTGGCGCGTGGGCAGTGGACAGAGCACCGGCCCTGAAGTCAGGAGGACCTGAGTTCAGATCCGGCCTCAGACCAAATACTTGATACTTACTAGCTGTGTGACCCTGGGCAAGTCACTTAACCCAAATTGCCTTAAAAAAAAAATAAAAAAGAACGGGGAGGGAAGGGAAGGGATATTGACCAGGCTGGGACCAGAATGAGCCACAAGGCAACAGGCCCTGAGGGACCTGGCCAGCAAGCACTGCTGTCCCAGGAGACATAATACCTGCCTCACCCAGTTTTCCACTCATTCTACTGAGTGACTGGTTTCTATGGAAACACATCTCCAATTTGTAACAGAAAAAAAGATCCATCATTATAGAAACCTGCTTTTCAGTCCACTCTGTGCTAACACTGTGTCCTTCACTCAATGTGCCACGTGCCTCAGAGCCACTCAGATCTACCTACTGTCTCAAAGACTAAGCATGGGCATTCACAAGAGGGTGTGCAGACGGAAGGCCTGGTGATCAAACCCACTTTAAACAGCATGAGCAGAGCTCACCTGTTCCCTCGGTCAGTTACCTTTGGTCATAGCTGCTGGAGCTTAATATCCACACGCAGCTGCCGTCTTGAAGGCCTTGCTCTCTGAATGTCTTTCCAAAGTTCTCCCTGGGAATGACTGTCCAGTTCTCTAACTCGAGAATGCGAGAGCCTGTAATGTTCACCAGGAGGATGCCAACAGGGGATGCTAAGGCCGTGAATATGGAGCCAACTTCAGCATTTGAGGGAAACACATGGTGGAGTTCTTCAAATGGCTGCCCGTTTTCTCCATCACTGCTATTTGTCAGCTGAAGGATATTCAAAAGGATGGGAAGAGCGTCCTCACCGACTGGAATCTTGACCCCACCAACCTGGGAAACAAAGTCAAGATGAAGGAGAGTCAGACCCTAACTGGCCAAAACAAAGTCTAATACAGTGAAAGTTTATGAGTGGCAATGAAAATGTTATTCTGTTGTGCCTGGGATAACAAGTCAACAGATCAAGGCTTAAAAATCTCCTGCCACTTCTTTCCTGTTCATCCTCATCTGACCCCTCTGTGAAGATGGAGGCAATGAGTGCCCTCCTCCTCGCTCTCCATGCAGCCAATCTCTCCCTTCAGTTCATCCTGGACGCCCCTGGCGATTGCTTACTCTTCCTGAAATTCCACCTTGCTCTCACACCCCCGTCCCTACCCAGAAGCTTTCAGAGCCTGCCCTCTTTGCTGCCAGACTGAGCCCAAACTCATCAACCTACAACTTAAGGCTCTTCTCAACTGGCCTTTCCAACGTTCCTTTGGTTAGGTCCCAATACCAAACGGGCCCCTCTAGTGGAACAGCCTCCTGAGCCTTTCCCTCTGTCAGCCTCTGGTCAGGCTCTGGCCCCAGCCTGAACGCATTCAATTCCTTCCTACTTAAACCCATCCCACGTGTGAGGCCCCAGGTCCAATCACACCTCTTTTACGAAGGCTTACCCTAAATGGCTAATTACACCCACTTATTGCCTGTACAGTCACTCGGCATGCAATTGTCTACTGCGGTGTTGTGACTTACGTGCCTCCATGTGTCTTATCTCCCCAGTGAGGTGTTAAGCTCCTTCAAGGCATGTAAGGCTGTGTCTTATACTTCTCTGGGAGCCCTCACAAACCCTAATACAGCGCTAGGAACAAAGCAGGTGCTCCAGAAAGCCCTGATGAATGAATTGGCATTTCAAGCTCAACAAATGAAAAGCCGTCATCACAAAACAGTATTTTTCAGTCAAATCATTTTCAAATCGCAGCTCGGAAAGACTAACTAGAAGTCGGGCACTCCATGCCAGGAGAGGGCGGCAGTGCGGCCAAGACTCCTCCAACCTTTTCCCAGTTTCCTAACTTCTAACTCTTCCTGCATGATCAGAACATTCTTTACACCGGCAGCAGGTTATCTTATTGCAATGACATTAAGGTTTAAAGTTACAATAAAGATTTCCTGAAGTAGGTTTTACCTCCATCCCATTCCACACAAAGATGTCTTCCCCATCGGTCATTTCAATTTCATGCAATGTCAGTCCATCTCCTACAAAGATGGGATCACCAGTGAAACCACTTGTCGCCCGCCTCCTCTCAGCACCCAGCCCTTTTCAGAGCATTGGTAACACAAGGGGCACTTGGGAGAGACAAAGGCAATGGATAAGCTTATTTACTTCTCAGCCAGCCGACCGACAACCGGGGTTTAAACCCTGCCTCTGTCTCGGAAAGATGCTGGCTGCCAAGGCTTCCCCCCGCGGCGGGAGGTGTCCAAGAAGTCGAGGGCTGAGATCCCCCAGGACACACTTCTAGCAGAGAAGAAGGGCGCCCGTCCCGAATGGGCACGGCAGCACTGGGGAGCTGGACAGGTCAGTTACACCCACGCTCCTTCTATCTTAGAATCGCTGGAAATGCCATTAAGGGGATTGACTGCTGGATTCCACAGTGAGCAGGGCTTGAGGAGAGTGCAGACAGATGGAAAACAAAGAGTAAAGATGACAGGCAGCATGAAGCTTTGACACAACGTGGGGCTCCCATCCCAGCTCCCCAGCTTGTGGGCAGCCCCTCTGCACACTGAGGGCCAGGGGCAGGGAGGGAAGGGTCCAGAGCACCTCTGTCCAAGGTGCAGCAGGTAGAAGGAAGCACACACGGGAACTCTACATCTTGCTCTCAGCTCTGCCGTGAGCTGAGGGCCACGGTGGGCCAGAAATGAGGGCGCTGGGCAAGCTCTCTCAGCACCTGGACCGAAAAGGCGCCGCCCACATGACCAATGCAAAGTATTGCTCGTGCAAGATGGCAGGAATTAAGCCTGTCTCCTCACTCGGGCAAAGACTCAACGTCCATTTTCCTAACACCCCCCCCGCCGTCCCCAGCAAGGTGGAAGGGAGATCTCACATCTCAGAGAGCACGTTAAGGCAGAGCCTTTCAGATCCCATAAGCCCTTTCTGGGCTCGGCCTGCCTCCAGCCCCCCGCAGCAGGCTCCATCTAAGGGGTGGGGATAGACAGGGAGGCTGGACAGCCAACTCAAGTCCTGGGGGTGCCGAGGACAAGGGGCCTACCTTCGAGGGCTTGGCAAACATGGAGTCCCGCAGGCACGAGCTTGGCAAGGCTGAGCACCAGATCCCCTTCCCAGAATTCCAGGAGCTGGAGATGAAGGAAGAGAGAGCTGCACAAAGTCAGAGACCAGAAACAACTCCAGGCTGACCTGGAGGAGCCCCCCTCGCAGAGTCCTGAGATGGTGGGGGAACCCACCACCTGCTCGGACACTGTCTGAAGGTCTGCTTCGGTAAGCCCCTGGAAATCCTCGGGAAGGCGGAGTCTAGCCTTAGGTGCCTGGCTCCCATGCAGGCACGGTGCCCAGACTCATGGAGCCCTTCCCATTCTCCCAACCAAGGCTAGCCCACGACAAAATGGGCCCTGAGACCACCCAGAAGTGGAGGACAGTTTGCCAAGGAGCGCTGTGTTCAAAAGGTGACACCTCGGGGGTCATTCTTCAAAGGAGCTGGACGAGTACCTGATTGTCAAATGGCATCTGACCTGGAAAAATATTTTTTCCTTCTGCCTACAAATGACAGCAGCCTGGACACAGGGGAAAAGACACAGTCGCTGGGGCAGATGCCTTGGGCTTAAACCTCTGGCTCTACCCTTGCTCCCCATGTGACTGTGGGCAAGTCACTGCTCATCTCTGGGACTCAGTCTCCTCACCTGTAAACTGAAGGGGTTGGAACCGATAAAATTCTGGCACTATTACTAAACACAATGACAGATGGTCCAGACCCATGACTCTACTGGCCTGGCTATTTCCCAGTGAGGAAACCCACTCAACCAATGCAGATCAGCTCTTTCTCTGCTATACGCAATCCCTAAGGGTTCCCTGAGCCTCGAAGGGTTCATGGAGCTGTCAGCTGGCTCACTCAAACATGTCAGGGGTAAGATGTGAGCCCAGGCTTCCTGACTCCAAGGCTGTCCCTCGATGGACACGTTGACTAAAGAAACAATTAAAGCAAAGGCCAATGAAAGCTGTCTTGAGTCTAACACCTCCGCTGAATCACCACCCGCTTCTAGCAATGTCATCCTCACCAATGAAATAGCCTTAAGGAATAACATGGCACCAGGCTGATCTTCACCTCGGTTAATAAACCGCCCACCGGGAATGTTCCAGCCCCCTAAGGCCAGGCCAGGAGGCACAGCTGGGCCTGGAAAGGGGAGCCAGGCTGGGGCTCAGGGAGGGCTGAGAGGCTCTGGCACATCCACTTCCACTCTCCCCAGACAGGCCACGGCCCTCCCCGGGCCCCAGGCTGAAACAGGAGAAGCAGTCATCAGCATCTGAGCTCGACTTGCAAGCAGGCTCAAGTCCACGCGAATGTACGTTACCTGAAATACCGACTGCCGAAGATCACCTACAGTTTTCCGTTTATCAATGGTCAAGTCCAACATGCAATCTTCTGTTACGGAAGAAGAAGGGTGCAGGGCGCCATCATAAAACTCATAGCAAGGGCCCAGGTGGAGATGCAGGTCGAGGGTGTTGACCACTGAGTCATAGTCTGTCCTGGAAAGCATCACAGCCAGAGAAGGAATCGGTCCTCGAAGACCTTCCACGTCACTCGAACACCAGGAGTCCCTTCCCCCAAAGCTCGAGAACCACGTGCCTCATTGGCTACCACGACCTTCAGGGAACGCCCCGCGAAGGCCCCTCCTCAAGGACCAGCAGCCTGGAGCTGAGCAGAACCCAGCCGGCCAGGAGGCCCACGGCCTGCCCCAGCCTTGGGCAGACTTACCTCCTCTTCTGCAGCTCCCTGTTGGCCTCATGCACCTCCCTCAGCAGGTGACCTGGAACCTTGTACTGTGGGTTGGACTGAGCTGTGAACAAAAGCCCTCGTTAATCTGAGGTCAGCCAAAGGAGAGCAGATTCAGGATGGTGGTCCCAGCCCACGCCCCAAGGGCCACTTCCCAGAGCCGGACCTGCGTCTTTGGGGATCACCCTAATCACTCTGCTCCTCAGGCACAAGGCCTCAATGGGCCGGTCTGTGGGGCCATCTTGAATCACAGGCCAGGTTGCGCGGTGGCCACATCTGGCTCCCTCCCAAGGCTCCACCCGCCCCGTGGCTCCACTATGCCCCTCGGGTACCTGAGGCATGCCCCCGGAGTCTTCCTCTGCGATGGCCCATCACTCAGCAGGGATCGAAAGCCCCTCCCACAGGCACCCTCCATCCAGCCAGGCACACAAGTACCATTCCCTATGAACCCAGTTCTCAGTCTATCCCTTCACTAATCAACTGATACATATGTACTCCGTGCCCAACACTCTGCTAGGCAGAGGGGACAAAAAGAAAAAAACAGCCCCTGCCTTCAGGAAGCTTACATTCTACAGGGGAGACGACACAAATGCTTAAAATATAATTACCTACTTCAAACCAGAGGTTCCCTTAGGAGGGTTGACAAGCTAAAACCAGATAGCAAAGACCTCTGGAAGCCTCGAATGTTAGTTCTGTGCTGTGTCTCTCTCCTTGAGAGAGAATGGTGGAACACCACGCTACCCCACTGGCTCACCGGTGGGCAAATCCCTACTTTAATTCAAGAGGGGAGGAGGGAGAAAGAAAGACAGGCCAGGGATGCCTGAAAATTCAGATTCCTGCGACAAAGTTGGGCCATGCCTACAGAGGCCCGTCATGCTTAGCACTCACAGGTTCCTCAAATAAAAACCACTCACTGACCAGACCATACACGCCCAGCATCCTAACGGGAAAGGAGCGGACAGAGCCTGTCTCCATTAGCCCACAGAACGGAAATGCGGAGATCTGCCTTTGGTTTGGTCCTGACCTGTGACCTCATCTAACAAATTCTGGCACTGAACTCCCCCTCCCCTAATACAGGCTAACAACTCCCATATGGCCCGTAGTCTTAATGAGAGGCACTGGGGAAAGACTGTAGCCAACGTTGGCCTCAAAGCCAGAACATGAGGGGTCAGGCCCCACCTCTGCCCCAGGCCATCCACATGCTCCCAGAGCTGTCATTCACTCTCCCAGGAACCCCAGCAGCTCCCTCAGCTGCAAAAGACAGCCCAGGAATAATGACAGTCACAGGTGCACCTACCAGGTGCCAGGCCCTGTGCCACTACGTGCTTTACAGTTCTTACAGCTGATCCTCACAACCACGCTGGGAGGGAAGTGCGATGGGGATCCCCACTTTACAGAAGAGGAAACTAAGGCAGATAGAGGTTTAGTGACTTGCCCAAAGTCTCCCAGCTAGTCAGTGTGTGAGGCCAGATTTGAACTCAAGTCTTCCTGAGCCCAGGCCCAGCACACTGGGCTCTCTGACACCTCGCCGCAATGGCAGGCAGATTCTCACTGGGGACTTGTCTGACCAGCTGAAGAACTGGCCTGGCGTAGCCACTCTGACATGATTGCACTCCAATCTGTGGGGACTGACCTAGACGCCAGCAGAGACCGTGCCCTGGGTCTCCTGCAGCACCTGGCCCACAGCAGGGAGCTGAGAACCTCTCACCCTCTGGGCCTCCTGCAAGGTCTTCTTCAAAGACCAAAGCTTGGTCTTTCCTGCTCTGGACAGAAGCTGAGAGCAAGAAGCCCGTGCCCCGTACCTTCTGGAGGCCTCTGCAGCTGCATCTTTCGGTAAAACAACATGTAGGCACTCTCTTTTCCCTGGAATTGCTTCTCAATGTCCGCTTCCCGGATGGGTTCCACTTGAGAATCATTTATGTCAAACCAATGAGGGCCTTCAGCGCTGACCTCCGGCCACAGATCCCCAGCAGGCTCTGCTCCAGAAGCCACGAGGCCCTCGCCGTGAGAAGGGGCATCAGGGCCAGGCTGTTTATGCTCAGTCAAGGGCAGCTGTGGAGGGCTGACATCCCTCCTTAGACAGACCTTGCTGGGATTGGAGCTGAGGAGAAACACATCAGAATGGGCGTGCAAAAACTGAAAGGGAAGAAAGAAATAAGGACACCAATTAGCCATGACCTTGGATGATGACCTCACATGGCCACCGGAGGAGTCAGGGACCCCAGAGAGGACCAGACCCAGAGATGGTGCTGGGAGGGCCTGGATGGACCAGGAAGCTGGCAAGGAAGGGCCCCGAGATGTTCAGCCTCATTTTACACACGAGGAGACAGAGTCCGGCAAGGAGGCAGATTCAGACCCCTCCTCCAGACTCTGGGCTGGGGGCCACGTGGCCATCATGCTCTCTTCGGGGCCCTCTGCTCTACCCACTTTAGGGTATTTTAATCAGGTCCATTTTCTCCATCCGCCAAGAGGACAATGTTAGAGACAGTCAGAGTGGGGTCCTGAGCAAGAGGGTGCCCACAAGCCCTCTGGGAATGCAGGAGAGGAAGAAGAAAAGACCATGTGCCCAGAGTGCTGCACTCGGGTCAAACGCGAACCAGAATCTGCCCCAGGGCCCCCTCACAGCCGCAACGGGAAGGGGGAATGCCCTCCACCCCCACCCCCAAGAGCCTGCTGGAGCAAGACAACAGCCCCTGGCCTCGCTTGTGCCCCAAAGTGACTCAAACATGTGGGAGTAGGAGCCATTCGCCAACACACAAACGGAAAAAGGGAACGCACAGGCACTTTGCAAAGGAGGAAATCCAAGCCATCCCCAACCGTAGGAAAGAACACAACAAAAAAATCAGAGGAATGCACACTGAAAGACCCTCTGAGGGGCGGCGGCCTTGGGCCTGCTGGGGAGGCTCGGAGGCTCGGAGGCTTGGAACAAAGAAGAGGCAGCGCTCCGGCGTCCCACGCTACACGTGGAGCACTGCTGAAAAAATGACCTCAGTCATACTGGCATCTCCAAAACGTCGAAGACGAGCCTGCTTCCCTCTGCCCATCTCTGGCCATTTTCGAGGCCCTGGCCAACTGGCCTGTCCTGCCCCCAGCCCAGCACTAGGCCCACTACCCGGTGCCCTCCCAACAGGGTGCACACCACTCTCACATTTCAAGTTTGTCCTCTCTAGCCCTGAGCACAAGGATCAAATCAAGCCCGACTGCTAGCATTTCTGGCAGGGAGGGTCCCACAACTACCCTACGGCCACAAGTCCCCTCCCTGACTCATGATGTCCCTACGTGCAGCCAGCAGGCTGGGGGAGCTGGAGGTCACGGCCCAGGCTGGGGGAGCCGGAGGTCACGGCCCAGGCTGGGGGAGCCGGAGGTCACGGCCCAGACTGGTGGCAGCAGGAGTTAGCTGCCCTGAAGAGCAGCCCTAAAACCCAGCCGCAGGCCTCGCGGAGATCCTCTGGGGGCTGCTCGGCTCTCCCGAGGGAGGCTAACTGTCCCCTCCGGTCCATCCTCCACCTCGCGGTCTAGTGTTGTTCTTAAAATGCAGATCTGATCACATTACCTCCTCGGAACTCCCGTGGCTCCCTATTACCTCCAAGATCAAATACAAAATCCCATTTGGCTTTTAAAGCCCCCTCCTCCCTTTCCAGTCCTCTTTTGCTCTCCCACCTACTCTTCGAACCAGTGACTCTGGCCTCCTGGCTGTTTCCTGAACAAGACACGCTCCACCTCCAGACTCTGGGCATTTTCTTTGGCTGTGCTCCCTGCCTGGAACACTGTTCCTCCTCATCTCCACCTCCCGGCTGCCACCTTCCCCAGGAAGCCTTCCCTGATTTCCCCATATGACAAGTGCCTTTCCTGATTCTCTCCAGTGCATTCTTCCTATGTATGTCTGTACATAGAAGCTGGTGTATTGTCTCAGTCATTAGACTGTAAGCAATTTGAGGGCAAGGTTTGCCTCTCTTTGTATCCCACAGTGCCCAGCACATAGTAGGCACTTAACCAATGTTTACTGATTGGCTGACCTCCTACTAAGTGCACAGCTGGTGCTGATCTGCCTCAGCAGGGGGATGGTCTTAAGTGGTCTGGACAATTCACACTGATGACCATGCCAGGCCGGGACCTCAAGGGAGGCTGAATTTAAGATCGCAGAAGCTGATTCATCTTGTCTAATGGGCCAGAGAAAGTCGGAATCAGATGGAGCCAAAGCCACCCACACAGGCCCCGGAAGTCCTGGTCTGCTTGGTGAAAGTGAGCATTCCTTCCGGGACAGGAACGAAGGCCGGCTGTCCTGCTGGCGGAGGGAGGAGCCGGGCTCGGCCAGAGCGGCCCTCGCTCCGGTTCTGACGGTCAGGGCCGAGAGGACCAGAAGGGTCACCTGGGCGGGTGGGGCGATGGTTACCTTCAGCAGGGACCCATGCTGCTTCCGATACTTCTTGTTCCAGGATATTTCTATGCTGGCCAAGAGCTTCTGACCCAGCTGGTCCACAGGAATCAGCTTATTTTCCTCCTTCAGAAAGAGAGATTAAAACGCATGAGAACAAATGTGCACAAATGAAGCCCAGGAGCACAAGGGGGAAGACGCACGCTGAGAAGCGGGGAGGTGCCCACGTTCAATTCGCTCATCAACACTTGGTGCCCAAGCAACGAGCCAAGGGGCTCCTGCCCTCAAGGAGGCTACATCCCAGGACCGTGACCAAAGCTCAACCACCTGCCAACCACCTGCCTTCCCCTCGCAGTTCAAAGGCTCCAGGAGAAAGCCGGGTCGTGGGGCCGAGCTGACCACACGCTCTGTGACTGGGGGATCGTGTGAGCATCCTCACTGTGCCCCACCCTAAGTTGACAAGGCTGACAGAACTGGGCCCCGAGAGGACGTGACCACCGGGCCCTTGACTCAATGTGTCCCTAATGGCTCCGTCTCCACGACCCGGTTTCTGGGGAAAGCAGAACCCACAAGCCATCCAGGGCATCCAGCCAACAGCACCGCCACCATCCCCTGGCTAACCCACTCTCTCACCCTGCCCTTCCTTCCTCCAGCCAGCTCCGAGTGGCCTGAGAGCAGGGTGACTGCCCCCGACACCTCTGCTTGGCAGCCCCCAAGGGTTCCCCAGCTCCGAACCATCACAGGCTCTTCCCTCACCCAGGAAGTTGTGAAACACTATCGCCCCCTGAGGCAGGACGAGTGTAACTGCTTCCCAAATCCTCTCCCTGGCTCCCCTGTCAGGGTCGCCTGCTCTCATCTCTCTAACCATCAATACCCTGCCAACTCCCCAAGGCCTAGGCTCCAAAAGGTGAGGCTCGCAGGCCCTCCCAATTCCTTTCTGGATCCTGCTTGCCCTCACTGTCCTCCCCGGCTGAGGGGCCCTGGGCTTCTCTCTGAGCCTCTCTGAGCCTCCACATCCTCATCACACAGCACTGACTCACCCACCTCCCAGATGAGAGCCTGTCTGCCGGCCTCAAAGCGCTTCACGAACGCTGGCTAGTACAGGCCATGCAGCAGCCTACTACCGACGTGCCAGGCACCGTACTGGGTGCCCAGGATGCCAAGGGAAAGGCAGTCTCAGCCCTCCGGCTGGAGCCAAGGGGCCACCTCCTCCATGAGGCCTGCTCAAGCCCCCCCGCTGAAGGAGTCCGTGCCCCTGCCCCCTCCTCCAACGTGGTACCGGGACATCACACACTCCCACACAGGCTGATGGAGCGCTCCTGGAAGGCAGGGCCATGTCTGGCCCTCCTTGCCACGCTGCCACCCAGCGTGGTGCTAGGCACACAGGAAGCCTCTCCTTCTCTAGTGGAGTTTCCCTGATGAGAACTCAACCCTGAAGCAATACCAGGTGTCTGCTAACTGAACATCATATGAAGGCAAACTCCAGGGCCGGCTTCCCTGAGGCCTGCATGCCTGCCGTCCAGACGCAGACCTGGCCCAGCGTGAGAGGCTGGGGGAGGGGGACCCACCCTCCTGAAGCCCAACCCCCAGGGGAGAGAAGGAAGAATTCAAGGCACAACATACCTGTGACAAGATATTTTTGAGGACCGTCAATGGATTGTCGGTTTCTTGTACACGCGGAAGGTCCTTCAAACTCTCGGCCTTTGCAACTGACTCAGACTCGTCTTCCTGGTGAAAACAAACACATCCTGGTCAATGGCACCAATACTGTTAGGAGACTAGGATGGCCAGGAACAAAGGCCCAGGGGGACTGGACGAGGGGCTTCCCAAGGTCTCGAGGCCATCTGACAAGCAAGGAATTGGATGCAGCTGTTCCATCAAGGGTCAAAGCTTTTTTCACTTTCTCGATAAACATGTCATCCCTCCAAGTGGGGAGATCTGAGAGCACATCTTAACTGAGAGGCTCGAAACCATTCCTCAAGGCCAATGAGAATCACAAGAAAGAACACTGGCCCATCACGGTGTATCTGCTGTTGCTTCTAAGCCAGCCACTGTCACGGGCACCTTCCGAACTGAGAAAAGGCGCCAGCCCGGGTCCTGAGGACACCAAAAGGAAGGGGTACAAGGTAAGAGGGGCAGGAAAAAGGGCCCACGGACTTCACAGGGCAGGCCACGTGACGCCTTCCCTCTGGTGATGATTTCTTATTTGGCCTACCGGTGCCTACTGGTTTGGAGCTTGTCTCCCTCATTAGACTGGCAGCTCCCCAAGGGCAGGACCTGCCATCTGCCTTTCTTTGCATCCCCAACAATCAGCACAATGCCCAGCACCACACTATCTTCTCAGACATCTTCTCAGACATGTCGGCCGTCCCTTCCCTCTTACAAGTAGCCTGGAGTGATTATGGGTGCTTGTGTGGGTCGTAAGAGCTCAGTTTGGATTTTAAGTGACGAACCTGCAGGTGAGCTTCCAAAAGAGATCAATGCCTCTACACATTCTACTGTCTCAGGAAGGGTCCCAGACACATTGGAATGATCTCTAGGGGCCTCGGTCCACGAGGTCTGGCTGGGCAAGCAGAGAAGGAGCAGCCAGGCCAGAAGGGTTCTCTCATGCCCAGCACCGAGGTCCACGTGACTCTGAGGCCCGTCCAAGTAGTCCATCCCTCTGATGGGCCTCCTGATCAGGCAGGTGGTGAATCACAAGGTGACCAGTTTGAGGCACAAGCACTTGAAAAGGTCCCGCCGGTCTCTCCCCAGCCAGATGGGAGGCAGCAGGGAGAGGGCTGCCCTTAGAGCCGGCTTCCGAGCTCCATAAAATCGGGGGTGGGGGGCTCACGGGTTGCTGAGGCCCTTTCAGCTCTGACTCCATCTAGAAACCCACAGCCAGCTGTGTGATTAGGATTAAGTCACTGAACCTCCAGTCCTCATTGAGAAAATGCAAAAATGACCTCTGCAGGGCTGGGATAAGAGCCCCTCGCAAATTTGCAAAGCTACCCAAGCTGAGATACACCCCAGCCCCAGCCCATGCTGAAACTGGCCAAGTGCAAAGACAGAGGTTCAAACCAAATCCATCAAGTCACAAACGTCTTCACCTGCCACGTCTGCAGCCCGGCCCCAGCCCACCTCTCCAACTATCTCCACAACACCAGCCTCTCCTGTCATCGGCTTCAGACATTTCACACTCACTCCCTTCCTCCTACCCACTTTCCAGGAGTCATCAGGCGGGGTCATCCTCACTGGTCACGGTCATTCTCACTAATCATGATCATCTTCCTCAGAGGGTCTTTCTCATCAGTCAGGGTCACCCTCATCAGTAGCGGTCGTGGTCATCCTCATCAGTCTCATCCTCATTGGTCACAGTCACGGTCATCCTCATTGGTTAAGGTCACTGTGCTCACGGGCTAAGGTCACCATCCTCATCAGGTGGGGTCATCCTCAACAGAGCCCTTCCTGCCCCCACCTACCCCCGTTTCCCAGCCTGGCTCTGAAAATACAAATCAAATCAGTCCTGCCAGGACACTCATCCCTGGCTATCACTCTTTTAGAATAGAAACACCCCAAAGCTTGGGACAGTACATTCTCCACACTGGAAACAGACCCCTACCTTAACAAAGAGTTAAAAACTCAAATAATTGGCTGGGATCATGAACAAACAAAGGTGCAAAAAAGTCAGACCATAGAATCCTTCTTTGGTGACAAAGAAGATCAAAACATGCAACCAGAAGAAGGCAATGAAGTCAAAGCTCCTACATCGAAAGCCTCCAAGAAAAATATGAATCAGTCCCAGGCCTTGGAAGAGCTCAAAAAGGATTTTGAGAAATGAGTAAGAGACGTAGAGGAAAAACTGGGAAGAGAAATGAGAGCGATGCAAGAAAATCATGAAAAACAAGTCAACAGCTTGCTAAAGGAGACCCCAAAAAATAAAGGAAGAAAATAACACCTTAAAAAATAGCCTAACCCAAAATGGCAAAAGAGGTTCAAAAAGCCAATGATGAGAAGAATGCCTTAAAAAGTAAAATTTGCCAAATGGAAAAGGAAGTCCAAAAGCTTACTAAAGAAAATACTTCCTCAAAAATTAGAATGGAGCAATTGGAAGCTAGAGACTTTATGAGAAATCAAGACACTGTAAATCAAATCCAAAAGAATGAAAAAAAAACAGAAAACAATGTGAAATATCTCATCAGAAAAACAACTGACCTGGAAAGCAGATCCAGGAGACAGAATTTAAAAATTATTGGACTATCTGAAAGCCCTGATCAAAAAAAGAGCCTAGACATCATCTTTCAAGAAATTATCAAGGAAAACTGCCCTGATATTTTAGAACCAGAGGGCAAAATAGAAATTGAAAGAATCCACTGATCACCTCTTGAATGAGATCCCCAAAGGAAAACTCCTAGGAATATTGCAGCCAAATTCCAGAGTTCCCAGGTCAAGGAGAAAATATTGCAAGCAGCCAGAAAGAAACAACTCAAGTATTGTGGAAACACAATCAGGATAACACAAGGTTTAGCAATTTCTATATTAAGGGACCGGAGGGCATGGAATATAATATTCCAGAGGGCAAAGGGTATAGGATTACAATCAAGAATCACCTACCCAGCAAGACTGAGTATAATCCTTTAGGGGAAAAAATAGTCATTCAGTGAAATAGGGGACTTTCAAGTATTCTTGATGAAAAGACCAGAGCTGAATAGAAAATGTGACTTTCAAATACAAGACTCAAGGGAAACATGAAGAAGTAAACAGGAAAGAGAAATCATAAGAGACTTATTTTAAGGTTGAACTGTTTACATTCCTGCATGGACAGATGATATTCGTAACTCATGAGACCTTTGTCAGTATTAGGGTAGTTGGAGAGAAAAAATTATATGTATGTATATATAGACACATAGAAACACAGGGCACAGGGTGAGTTGAAGATGAAGGGGTGATATATGGAGAATAAATTTAAGGGGTGAGAGGATTTACTGGGAGAAAGAGAAAGGGAGAGAGAGGGAATAAATTTAAGGGGTGAGAGGATTTACTGGGAGAAAGAGAGAGAATGGGGTAAATTATCTCACATAAAACAGACAAGAAAAGGCTTTTTTTCAGTGGGGGGGAAGTGGGGGAGGTGAGAAGGAATGAGTGAATCTTATTCTCATAGGATTTGGCTTAAGGAGGGAATAACATACACACTCAATTGGGTATGGAAATCTATCTTACCCTATAGGAAAATGGGGGGGAGAGGGGACAAGAGAGCAGGGGGATGATAGAGGGGAGGGAGTAATCAGAAGTAAACACTTCTGAGGAGGAACAGGGTCAAAAGAAAGAATAGAATAAATGAGGGGTGGGATAGAATGAAGGGAAATATACTTAGTTTTTTACAACATCACTACTATGGAAGTGTTTTGCATGACTATACATGTATAACCTGTATTGAGTTGCTTACCTTTTCAATGAGGGTGGGTGGGGAGGGAGGAAGGGAGAAAATTTGGAACCCAAGGTTTTAAAAACACATGTTAAAAACTGTGCTCACATGCAACTGGGAATTAAGAAATACAGGAAATGAGTACATAAATCTATCCTCCCCTACAGGAAAACAGAAGGGGAAGGGGATGAGAGAAGGGGGGGAAGAGATAGAAGGGAGGACAGATTAGGGGAAGGGGTAATCAGAATGCACACCATCATGGGGGGGGGGGAAGGGAGAGATGGGGAGAAAATTTGGAACTCAAAATCTTGTGGAAGTGAATGTTGACAACTAAAAATAAATAAATTTTTAAAAAAAGAAAAAGAAATGACAGCAACAGCAATAAGAGAAGAAATTGAAGAAATCAGAAGTGTCAATGAATCAATAAAGCTATCTCTTTTGCTGATGATATAATGATATACTTGGAAAGTCCTAGAGATTTAACTGAAAAACTAGTTGAAACAATTAATAATTTTAGCAAAGTAGCAGGATATAAAATAAACTCACATAAATCATCAGCAGTTGTATATATCACCAAAAAAACGCTGCATGAAGAGATAGTAAGAAATACCCCACTTAAAATAACCATAGACAGTATAACATTCCTAGGAGCATACCTACCAGGATAAACCCAGGAACTACATGAACATAATCATAAAACACTTTTTCTACAAATAAAATCAGATTTAAATAATTGAAGAAAGATTAATTGTTCATGGGCGGGCAGAGACAATAATATAATAAAAATGATAACTCTACTTAAACTAATTTACTTATTCAATACCATCCCAATTAAATTACCAAAAAATTATTTTACTGAGCTAGAAAAAATAACAAAAGGTCAAGAATATCAAAGGAATTAATAAAAAAAAAAATATAAAGGAAGGAGGTTTAACAGTACCAAATCTTAAACTACATTATAAACTAGTAATTATCAAAAATATCTGATACTGGCTAAGAAATAGAATGGTGGATCAGTAGAACAGAGTAGACATACAATACACAGTAGTAACCTTGTGTTTGAAAAATGTAAAAATTTAAGCTTTGGGAATAAGAATTCACTATTTGGGAAAGCTGGAAAATAGACTGGCAGAAACTGCTTATCAACCAATATCTTACACCATCTACCAAGATAAGGTCAAAATGGACACATGACCTAGATAAAAAGGGAGTTATCATAAGTAAATTAGGAGGACATGGAACGTATTACTTATCAGACTTACGGATAGGAGAAGAATTTTTAGAGAGCATTGTGAGATGTAAAATGGATAATTTTTATTACATTAAATTAAAAAGGGTTTGTACAAACAAAAATCACGTAGCCAACGTAGAAGGAAATCAGAAAATTGGGGGAAAAAATTTTAAAGTCAGTTTCTCGGATAAAGGTCTCATATCTCAAATATATAAGGACCTTTGTCAAATCTATAAGAATATGAGTCATTCACCAACTGATAAATGGTCAAAGGATATGAACAGGCAATTTTTCAATAAAGGAATCAAAAATACACATACATATATAATCAAATGAAAAACTTTTCTAAATCATTATTGACTAGAAAAATGTAACAACTCTGAGACATCATTTCATACCTATCAGATCGACTAAGATGATAGAAGAAAACAACAAATATTGAAGGGGATATGGAAAATTGGGACACTAATACATCATTGGTGGAACTGTGAACTGACCAACCATTTTGGAGAATGATCCAGAACAATGCCCAAAGAGCTATAAAACAGTATACACCTTTGCCCTGGCAATGCCATTATTAGGTCTGTTTCCCAAAAAGATAAAAAGGAAAGAACCCATACGTCCTAAAATGTTTACAGCAGCTCTCTTTGGAGTGGCAAAGAACCAGAAACTGCAGGGATGCCCGTCAACTGGGGAATGGTTGAACCAGCTGTGGTACGTAATTGTGATGGAATATTACTGTGCTATGGGAAATGATGAGCAGGTTGATTTTAGAAAAACACGGAAGAATTCACATGAAATAATAAAAGTGACATTAGCAGAACCAAGAGAATGTTGAATACATTAACAGCAATACTGATGAAAGAATAACTGTGAACAATCACATCATTCTGAGTATTATATATACTCAAATCAACTACAAAGGCCCTATGAAGGAAGATGCTATCCACCTCCAGGGAAAGAACTGTTAGATAGAAGTACACATGGTATATGGTTTTACGCATGTGTGTATGTATATATAAAAATCTGTGTCTATACTGTGGGATGGGGAGGGAGGGAGACAGTTTGGAACTTAAAAAGAATGTAACAAAAAACACAATTAAAAAAAGAGAGAGTCCCAAGAGTGTGTGGGGGCAATAAGGGGGTAGCAGAAAAGACAAAAACAGCCCCCCAAAGATGGCAGGCAGCAGCGCAAAGAGAGATGCGAGTGCTGCCGCATCGTTCAGCCAACACTAGGCATGGCCCCCATGTTTGGCCCAAGGCTTCCTGGAGGAAGCAACAAGGACAGAGCCTGCGAGGGCTGGAGAAGAGAAGCCTGGCCAGGGCCAAAAAGGGGATGCTCAGCCTTGCCTCAGAAATGCATGGTGTCCTACAAGAGAACCCCGACCAGGCAGGAGCCTTCTGGTCCTTGGGGGCAGTCTTTCCCATCACTCTGCTCGCATGCGCCATTCCCTGCCCTTTCTTCCTTCTCATCACTCAAGGGACGATTACAGGGCACCGTGAAAGGTAATGTTGTCTCTTGGGTGTTGCAGGTACCTGGCCTGCCTCCTCAGCTACCTTGCCAAGAACTGATTCTATTTCTTTCACGAGCCCAAGTGCATACAGACACAGTCTACACACAGTAAAGGCTCACTACCTCCCCCCATGAGGAGACCTTTGGAAACAACTGACAGATCGTCGGGGGCCCATGCCCACACTCACCTCAAACTGCCAGTTTCCCAACTGGTCAACATCTTTAATATACACGTGGTAATGTCCTCCATAGCAGCCGCCTTTGTGTATAATAACAGAGAAGAGGTCATACACATACTCTGAGTCATCCAACTCAGTCTAAAAGGAAAAGATGGAAACTGCGTCAGTTGTCATCGGTGAGAACCTGAGCAAAGGAGACGACACGGAACCCCAGGGTTCCACGAGGGGCTGCTGACCATTTAAAAACAAACTTCAGTTACAAAACTGTCAGTGGCTTGATCAGGCACAGATGGCAGCGCACCAGCCAATACTTCTTCCAGGCCTCTAGTGGGCGCCACCGTGCACAGAACGTGGGGTCTGGAGTCCGGAAGACAAGTTCAAATGCAGCCTCTGACACTTATGAGCAGGGTGACCGTGGCCAAGTGACGTCACCTATTTGCCTCAGCTGCCTCAACGGTACAATAGCACCCCCCTCCCAGGGTTGCTGAGGATAAAATGAGACCCTATTTGTACAGTGCTTTGCACACCTCAAACGTCAGCTATTTATCATGGTCCTTATTCCCTCTGAGAAGGTCTATCCTAATACAGGCTCCAAACTATGCCAAGATCTTATTTTGACACCCTAGGCTGAGTTCTGATGAGACCCCACACCCCACCAAGGATCCTGCTACGCCTCCTTTCCTGGAGACTTCGGAGAAAGGGACAAAGTCCTCACACGCCCCCGGAGAAAGCACGAGGGAGGGAGCTCTGCTCGCCCTTTGCCCTTCCCCAGCTCAGAGCCCAAGGTCAGGTGCTCAGCAGCCAGGTCCTAGGTTCACAGGATGGACTTTGTAGTTCCCCCACGGGAGGAGAAGCACACTTCACAAAGCTCTTCCTTTGTTGGATGAGGAGGGGGGGTGAGACTCACTGGGAGGCGAGGGCCACTCTGTCACAGCAAGGGGCCTCAGAGGCCAACAAGCCCGGCCTGGGCCTGAGCCAGGACGGCTCCTCACCTTCTTTGGGTCATGGCCCCCTTAGCCACCAGGTGCAGTCTGTGGACTCCTTTCCAGAATCACACTGTAAACTAATGGAGAGAAGGGCTATACTTCAGCAGAGATGAGTATTAACCAAGCTGTCACTCTGACAAGTCCATGGACCCCCAGGGTAGGCACCCCTTATCCGGATCATCTCCACCAAGTGCTCATCCTACCTTCATTCACAGACCTCAGACCCTTGAAAGTCACCCCACCCCTCCAGGGCAGGCAGGCCCTTCAATTTATTTCTCTTTATTTTTTGAAAGTATTTACCCAAATGAAGAAATTAAAGCTACCTATAATCATATGAAAACATGCTATGAATCACTACTAATTAGAGAAATGCAAATTAAAACCACCTCACACCTATCAGATTAGCTAATATGACAGAAAAGGAAAACGATAAATGTTGGAGAGGATGTGGAAAAAGTGGAACACTAATGCATTGTTGGTGGAGTTGTGAACTAATCCAACCATCCTGGAGAGCAATTTGGAACTATGCCCAAAGGGCTATAAAGCTATGCATACTCTTGGATTCAGCAACACCACTACTAGGTCCATACCCCAAAGAGAGCAAAAGAAAAGGACCCACATGTACAGCAATATTTATAGCAGCTCTCTTTGTGGTGGCAAAGAACTGGAAATTGAGGGGATGCCCATCCACTGGAGATGGTTAAAGAAGCTGTGGTATGTGATTGTAATGGAATACTATTGCTCCACAAGAAACGAGGGGCAGGCAGATTTCAGAAAAACCTGGAAAGAACTGATGCTGAGTGAAGTGAGTAGAACCAGGAGAACATTGTACACAGCAACAGCAACACTGCAACGACCAACTATGAATGACTTAGCTCTTCTCAGCAATACAACGATCCAAGACAATTCCAAAAGACTCATGATGGAAAATGCTGTCCACCTCCAGAGAAAGAACTATGGAGTGTGAATGCAGATGGAAGCATACTGTTGTCACTTTTCGTTTTTTATTTCTTCTTTTTCATGGTTTTCCCATTTTGTTCTGATTCTTCTTTCACAACATGACTAATGTGGAAATGTTTAACATGATTGTACACGTATAGCCCATATCGGACCACTTGCTGTCTTGGGAAGGGGGGGAGGGAGAAAAATCTGGAACTCAAAATCTTACAAAAGTGAATGTTGAAAACTATCTTTACATGTAATTGGAAAAAAACAAAATACTATTAAAGCAAAAAAAAAGTATTTGCCCAAGAAGTTTAGAGAAAGATTTAATTTCAAGTGGAAAGTATTTTTTCAAATGAATTTGGCTGAACATGAAGAGAAGGTGCAGAAACAATTGAGGTAGAATGTGGATGGCTGAGGCTGGAGAACTTGGAATTTGGAGGACAAGGACAGCAGGCCTCCACTAAGCCAAGTTCCCTGATCCTTCCCAAATAACAGCTGAGGCCTATTTCCTGAGATGAAGGCAGAGATGTAGACATGACGAGAGTCAAATCTCACGCCCAGACGTGGGAAAGCACGGAAGCCAGCTCACCAGTAAGAACGTGATGACAACTGACTTTTATCCAGTTCTTTAAGGCTGGGAATGCACTTCTAGGGTCTCTCCCTGGGTCCTCACATTATTGCTGTGGGTGAGGTGCATCTGCAATGCCCATTTTACAGATAAGGCAGCTGAAGCAGATCAGGTGAAGAACCTGCCTGGGGTCACCCAACCAGGAAGTGTGGTCCCATTCAAACTCCAGGCCTTCCCCAATCCAAGTTCAGCTTTCCCTCCACGGTACCACTTACCTGCCTAGACTTGGAGGGAAGAAGACTGCAGCTCCCTGAGGGACATTTTGGGGCTGCTAAGGGGTCTCTGAAGTAAATGCTGCACAGTCCCCGCTATGGCCTGCAAACCCTCCTAACCCGGAACCCGACTGGGCTAACGTGCAATGGTGGAGGGTAGGGGGGACCTTGACCGAGGGCCCTGAATGCCGATTTAAGTAGGTTGGGCCCCATCAGGACGAGAAGCACACTGACCCTGGGAACGAGACGTCACCACTGAGCCACCCCAGAAGCGCGCACTTGGTCACGTCCCACCCAGAGGGGCGATGAGGAAACAAGCCAACAGGAGGGCGCCGACCTGCTCACAGAAGGGCTTCAGGTCCATCCGCAGAGGGAACGTGTAGCAGCCCGTCTCCTTGTAGCGCTCACACTTGGCAAAATCAAAATTAAATCTCAGCAACGAAATTGTCAGAAAAGGAGGCAGCTTCCGCAGCCGGGCTGACTGTGGAGACAAGACCAGCGTCGTGAGGACAGGCGAGGAGTGGCGCAGGTCTGCACACACCCATACACTCAAGGACGCACACATGCTCATGGCAGGTACCCGTGAGGGCTGCAGACAACGTCCAAGGCCGTGGGAAAGCCACAGACTGAAAGGACACGTGACTGACACAAAGTGACCCCCAGAAGAGCCTCCGTACCTCTGTCCATCCTCTGGCCCCCTCAGCCTCTCCCCTTAGCCTCTGCCCTTGTTCCTTTGGGGGATCCAGGACCGCAGGCCAGCCGCCCTCCTCCACACTGCCCTGTCCACATCCCAGCCAGGGATGGGCAACTGCCCACTCACAGCCCCCGAGGGTCCTGCACGTTCACTGGATGGCTTCTCCACGGTCACCCTCAGACACAACGGTGCCCCGCGGTTCGTGGGCATATGGGAGGAGGATAGTCCCAGACATAGATGGTCCCACCCCTCCCATTACTCAGAGGAGGGCTGAGGCCCACAGCAGAGGCCACGGACTCAAACCCAGCTGGGTGTTAAGCTGTGGTGAGGGAGGGAAGGGGAGTCTCAGGGGTGGTCAGCAGACCAGTCCATCAGATTCTCCTTTGAGGTGCCCAGGCGCCATGTCAGAGCGCTAAGGACATCGCCCGGACAGCCCGTCCTCCCTGGGCAACCCTAGATGGACCCACAGAGAGGAAATGCATCGGGGCAGGCAAAGGAAGCCTCCTACAGCAGTGAAAGCAGAAGAAACCAACAGCCCGTTTCCCCAATTCAGCCAGACAAGCTCTGGGGTCCTGCCGCCTTGAATCAATGTGTGACCCTGGGCAGGTCACTTCACCCTTGCCTGCCTCATTTTCCTCCTCTGTAAAATGGGAAAACACCTGCAGAGTCCTTCCTCAGCCCAGTGCCCGGCACACAGCAGGAGCTCAGTCGATGCTCCCTCCCTCACCTTGGTGGCACTGACGAGCCTGTTGCACGTTCCACAGTGATACAGGTTCTCTGCATCGAAGAATTCCTCGTCCACGTATGCGCTCCAAAGAGCTTCCTCGAGGCCAGACAGGTTTTTGACGGCAACCGTCAAGTCCAAGAAGTCCTCCTGTCGCTCAGAGAAAGACAAAAGTCTGTGAGGGGCGCTGGACCAGGAGGCCCGCTGCCTGCAGCCACACAAGGCCAGAGACAAATGATGAGGCCACGAGGCCGTAAGGAGCTTGTCATCTCGGGAGATGGCCTAGAAAGAACTCCTCATTGGACAGGAGAGGAAGTCAAGGCTCCGAGGTCAAAGGGACTGGCCCCAGGTCACACCACACCGGCCAATAAGTGCCTGAGGCGAGATTAGAACCCAGGTCCCCATGACTTTGACCCCCTGGGCCACACGGCTTCTCTTACATGCCTCACCCAGGGCTACAAAGCAGACAGTCCCTGCTACCAGACACATCACCCATCACTCCATCCCCTGCCACTGTGGCGGGGGTCGGTCCACCTGCCCCTTGAAGGGCATACCCTATTCTGCACCTGTGCCCCACCCCCTCCACCCCACCCACCTGAGAGGACAGATGGCTTCCCGAGAGATTCACCAGGACCAAGACGGCTGGTCAGCAACTCCTGGAGTGAAGGGGGGTCAGCACTCTGACTCCCAGAAGCCCTATCAGGTCACTCCTCCATCAGGACCCCCACCTTCCTTCTCCACGGGCCTGCGGCCCCTCAAGAAGCAGTGATTTCTGACCCTTTGCCCAGCCCTGCCCAAAGAGACTCCTTTTGGTGTCCTCAGGTGCCAGGGCCTCGGCCAGGACCCACCTGCCGCTCACTGACGTTCTCACACTCCTTGCACATGATGTGGTTCACGATGGTGCCGTGGTAGAGGCGGTTAATGAGGTCGTGGCCAGAGGTGCCCACCAGGGAGCTCTCCAGCGCACTGAAGAGAATTCGGTTCAGTTCCTGGACATCATGCTGCCTCATCTCCTGCAATACCAGGACAGTCACAAAGTCACTGGCCCGCTCCTCATTTCCACCAAAGACGAAGCCACGGAGAGCTGCCTGTGCACCCACAACACCCACCTCTCACGCTGGGGTTTCTCTAATGGAGAGAGCAGAACTGGAAAACACTTGTCACCAATCGGACAACTGAGGAGAAATCCCAGGAAAACGGGAAAGAATTCTGATTTTCCTGTATACCAACCAGCAGGAGGCTAACAGAGCGCATGCAGGGGAGGGCCTTAGACAACCTGCTTTAATGAACTTGTCATCTGGTAACCAAGTGCAAGTGGGAGAGGGCTTTAGGGGACTTGCTTTAATGAACTAGTCATCTGGTAACAAAGTATATGTGGGAGCAGGCCTTAGGGGACCTGCTTTAATGAAATTGTCATCT